AAAATGCCGAAAAACATATTCTAATGAAACTGTCTATTCCAACCACGATTCAATCATTCACTGGAGTCACCGTAATATATAATGCTGTACGTAAGAAATCTGTACATGTATTAGGTCCCCACGGTACACATGAGACTAGATAAAAACCAATGGAAAGCTAACTTCATTGTAGTAAGGATTAAAACTGACAAGAACTATGCCACCGTTAAATTTTATTTGACTTCTATCGGAGGATAAACTAGCGGCTTATACGATATTACGGTGGGTTTCCACTGCTTTGCATCTGTACAACATACACTGTTAAAAATATCTTTTTGTACAGGTTTACAGCAATGGAAACTCATTCCTAAGTAGTCAACTAACTATAAATATCCAAATGGATGTCTAAAGCACTTGTTAATGGAACGCAACAAAGACTAGGACTATTGATTTGGAAATACCCGTGACGACAACCGTTTGACTAAACTACCCATTTCAGTAATTTTTTAAAATAATTTAAACCACATTTTTTATCGGTTAAATGTAGCTTGATCTATAAAGTTTAATTGCGGAAGAATCGATAGCTACGAGTATAACTTGTTTAAAAGTATTTATTGAGCAAATACTTCAAGTTTGTAATAACGGCAAACTAATTAACATGTAGATTAATAGGTCAATTAGAGTAATTGATGTAGTTAAAAAAGCACTTACAATCCTAAATGAAGTAGACAAAAAAATCAAATTGATTAGTTTTAGTAGAAATAAAAGCATTCAAACTACTACTAATAAAACTAATTACTATCTTTTTAAGCAATTTATCGCATGATTTAATATTATATTTAGTGTAATTGCAGTGATTTCAAAAATCTAAGTTGCCTCTACCCTATGCCCAGTCAAAGAATCCTTTGAACGTAACGTTTTAATAATAAATGTCTTCGTTTCAGAATTGAAATGAGTTCTCGAGGTTTGCTACAGTCTTATTAGAGAGATAAGTTATTAATTGGACGGTAGTAAGGAATGGTAATGAAAAATTGCTCGCTTCCCCTTATCTATGCAGCTTTCGGAGCGAGACGTCGGACCGTATCGTTAGCAGGCCACATCTAGCCGATATCTTTACTGTTACCCTCACAAACTCAAGATAACTATACTCTTCTTATCGGAAATGATATTAAATCTTTTGATATAAAGTAAGCCAACCCTCAGGTAACTCTAAGTGAAATGGTAACCAAATTTTAATCTTTTAAAACCTCTACCAATTTTCCTTAAAAATGTTGAAGTTATGATAAATTTATTTAGGTAAAGACGCTTGCGCTTCAAGTTCAATGATTTTTTAATATTAGCAGATTTCTCTTATTTTACTAATATTTCTTGTACCAGTCCTACTAAGCTCTAGGATTGTGCTAGGATATGGTTTACAATAATAGTCGAATAGCGGGATTCAATCTCAACCTTAACCATTAGGCTATTGGCGCTTCAAATGATGACTTTTTATCGCTGCAAAAAACCTAGTAAATATCTCGTTAAACCTGTACTGTAAGCTTAAACATCTCAAATCACACCGATCTCTGACCAGGCTACCAATGTTAGCCGTGAAACTTATCCGAATGGGAGCACTCATTCGTCAATGGCAAGCCGCCAAAAAATCGTTCCATTCTCGTGCCTTATTCTGTACAAAAGGAGATAGCGACGTCTTTCGCCTGAATATATTGTGCCAGAGCTTGCAGCGCCCTCTACAGCCGCCTCTGATATGCAAATAGGCTCCGGCAAGATCGTAAACCGTTCCATATCAGATAACGTAATTTGGAGCAGAAATACACCGACTTCATGTAATTTCTGTATTATGCTTGTGCCAAATTAAATTATTTCTTCAATTTAGAAATTTGTACCGAGAATTAGATAACGAGTGGGTAATTAATATAATTTATGTTGCTCGTCGTGCCAAGTTTCTTATTTTAGAATTAAAATTAATATAACGTTGTATTTTCTTTAATCATTATACGCCTTGTATTGTAACTAATACGTAACAATACGTAAAGTTAAAGCTTGTTACTGTCTTTTGAAATTGTTTAAGAAGTATTTCTTTATAATTTAACGCATAGGCAGATGTTAGACAAAGGTTATGGGTAACCCACGGGACGCCCGGCGCGATATCTACCTGCTCCGCCTATCAAACATCTTGGGCCTCTTTTTGCTTATCTTTCGTAATATATTATTCACGTGGAAGACGAAAGAGACGTCACCAGATATACTTTCTTTGTTTTGATACGATTAACTTTATTTTTTTCCGTATTAAATTTAATTAAATAATTTTCCAAAAATGTGCATTAACTCTTATTTAATACGTATACAAGTTAAATGAATATTAAAAAAAATAATCACACTAACAACGGTTGTTTGCAAACTTTTTAAATTAAACACGAGAGGCGACGAACTTGATCTTCTAGTTGACAATAATTAGCGATAAGCAAAGCTGTAACAATACCGTCCTACCAAGAATTCTGTAATATAAGCGAAGCGACAAACAACTTGATCAAAGCGCATGCAAAACTAGTATGGAAAACAAATGCTGCAAGTCCTTTAAGTAATTAAATTAATCCAAATTCGTTGTTACGCTATTAAGAAGTAAACTGTAAAATAATTCGTACCGCAAACTTTCACATAATCCAGCAATCTTCAATAATTACTAACCTTTGTCATGTTGAAATGAATCTTCGCTAGGGTTTTGTTGGTATGCATAACATAGTTTTTGACTTAAAACAATATATAGCATTAAAAATTTGATTTAGTTATTAGTTATTTCTATACCTATAATTAAAAGTATAATGTTCTATACTTATATATGAATCAACTAATAGACCAAGTACTGTAAAATGACCAGGAAAAATATTAACAGGGAAGTAAGATGTCGCATTCGAGTAACTGTGTTGCTTTAATTATCTTGAGTGCAGCACATGGTTAGCGTAACGTGGCTCTGGCTCTTCCACGGCTTGTCATTACAAGCCTAATTACCTATCATTACATTCTAACAGCTAAGATAACCAACATTTTTCCTTTAAACTGAACATTCCTAACTGTTACCGGATCAATTAGACGATTAAATGATACCGCTATGCTTGTTGAACGGGTAAAAACTAAAATACTTCTTTTACTAATATTTTAAATGCAAAAGTTATATAAACTTTGATTAGAAATATTTGTTGCAAGATATCTCTGGGACTAAACGGATTTGGATTAAATTTTGCACAGGAAAATTCTGAAAAAGGTTAGTTCCCGTGGGATAGATTTGTTTTTTTTTTATAATTACTTCATAACTCCGCAGCAGCAGAAATAAACAATCATTTTTTTCTACACAGACAAATTTACGGGAAACAGCCAGAGTCTAAAGCGGTGATTTTTTTTTCTATATTTAATGTTTTTTTTAATGTGGTCATGTACTTAGTGAGCATCTAGAAGTCGATGCAGGCTGCTAATAAAATGATGCTAAAATAAACTTTATCTTGCTTTGTAAAAAAATTTCTTGGCTACATGGGGTATGTGTCGATAAAATAGAATAACATCGACAGTTTAATGATGACAGGGCACGCACCGCAGTTGTTATATCAATACTTCCTGAGGTGTATTGATAAAACAAACTGCGATTGAGGCGCGTCAGCTAAGGCGGTTACCGTATAGACAAACCTTCAAAGAACATCGTACTCAAGTGAGGTCAATCCAGTACTGCCAATGGTCGGATTCATTACTGCCATTTTATAGTTTTTATTTTTTTCTTTTTTTAGCGTGAAAGTGGCTTGCATTAAAAATATTAGGTTGATAACTCAAACTTGGAACAGAATAAGAGAAAATCAAATAGAACGTAAAATACATTAGTATTATAATTTGCTTTACAATATTAATTTTCATGTATGCTTAAACAAACCAGTTCGGACGCAACAGTATGTATTTGTGGTATCTTTTTATTTTAACATATTTATGACGGTAAATAATCTAAGTTTTCGTTTTCGAATTTAAATTTATACTTAGCGGGAACCTGTTATTTTTGGCGGGATAGTGCAAAAGCGTGGCCTTTTATCGTTGATCCGTTCCATTTGTAGTGCAGGTAGATTTTAGCTACTGGCTAACTTGCAACTACTAAAACAAAACTAAAACAGTATTATATTACGTCTTATCCTCTATATGCAAAATGTTTCCGTTGTTACTAGCTCAATGAACTTGCCCGTTATATCTTTGACTTTCTCTGAACTGCAGTCATTAAGTTAGATTTTCTGCCGAGCTTAGCCGTTGCATTGGCATTTGTTCAAAAGCAGTTGTAAAGCTCAGTGTTGTAATTTCCATACCCGCTTCTAATTCTCAAAGTACAATTTGTTATCAAGATTTTCCTCTCCTACCTCATGGCTTTTGCGATAATCACAGTTTCCTACAATTTCTATGGCCGGAATAACAATAAATTTATGATTTCTTGATACAGGGGTCTTGTCGTAAATGCAACAAAAGGTTACGGTGTAATAAAAGTCACATTCAGGTACGTAGAAAAGGTGTAGCAAAAGATACATCCCTCTCCCTCACTCCGCAATATATTAGACAAAAAAATATAAACGCATCTAAAATTTTAATATTGTTTCAAAATTTCAACACAATTTAGTATTTGAGAGTATGTGTTGTTTGATAATCTGAAAGCACTTACCTATAACTGTTACTAACACTAACGACCCAAATCTATAATCGAATGGTGCTGGAAGCTTAGAGAAAGCTTTGCTTCGTGTTACTTATTTTTCTACAGACATAGTGTCAGTCTTCATCTCTATTATTACCCTTCCCAATCGACGAAGTACATTTCTATTTTATGGCCCCTCATTTAAAAGCGTCAACAGAAAACAAAAAAACATCCTATAAAATGAAACTGGCAATGCTTGTAGCGCGAGGCGAGGTGAGCGTGGCAACGACGCGCGCGCATGTTGTGAAAGAGATAGAAAAGCTGGTCGGGCGAGTTCGTGGGGAGCCCCCCGCGGCCCCTGCGCTCTCCCCGCCCGCCAGTGCCGCCGTCGTCGCCGACTGTGTTGCGTGTGTGCTGCTGCCGTTGACCGCGCGCTTGGCGTCCACTGTAAACATTGCACTGCATACAACAAACTGTTACGTTACACTCTCCTACTTCTTAGGAACCGGTTACTCCCGATATTTCTAAGTGACACGTACCAATTGTGTGATTTTGTGTTACCTGGAATAGTTTTGTGAAAATCTAGTTAACTTAATGATAATTGAAAGTGCTTGTGGAATCATTTTATCAGTAGTGCAGTAATGTGAGTGGATATACAGAATTTTCTCTATAATTGGATTGCTTTACGGCAGCGAATAATTTAAATTGGTGAGTGTTTGGTTTCTCTACTATTTTGTACATAGCAAAGCGTGAGTCCGATACAACAAAAAGTCGTATCGTATAGGGGGCGATGGAGTGTGCGGGCATTGTTGACACATCTACGTTTACCAGCCGTTTTGATTTCCTCGGAAGGTTCGAAACAATTCCAATTTTTTAAATGTTGACACAGTTCTCTTTTTAGCTGACTTCAAAAAGAAGAAGGTTATCATAGACACCATTTTTACGAAACTCTGTCAAAATTTTTGGCAATAATGAGGGTATTTTTAACAGAACACATTATTTTTCGTCTAGTTATATAATCGCATACTGACCAAATTTCAATAGTTACGCTGTGCCACTTGCATATTTAACCAACACAACTCATGATATTTAATCAATATGTACTTAAATATTAAGGGATGAAACTTGTCCCAATTACAAAATAAAACGCATGGGCGCCATAGACGCTGCAGGCAATTTGGTCGTGGGTCCGATCCACAAGCTATCCAACCGACGCCGTTGAGGCGTTGTAAAAACGAAATTGAAATAAAGAAAAACATTTTTTCACGACACGTAAACTATGTCGAAAAGCAACCACCAAGTTAATTTAGGTATTAATACGAAATGTATCCCAGAACCCTGTTTCGTTAACGTTACTTTGCAGTGACATCTAGCGACATTAAACGAAATCATGCACACATTTCTACCTTAAACTAAAAAAAACCTATAAATTCCTTGTCATTAGGGTCTTCCATTATTTTTCTTTAGGCATGGTTTATTTCCATAGATGTACAAATTACTAAGTTCATCTCTCCACCTACAAATAGCGTTTCAAAGCGTGATCGAGAGATTCTTTACCCCATCTTACTCATGCAATTGTTAAGTAGTCGTTAATTAAGAAAACCTCGTAAATTTGGTCGTTATAACAATTTGTTGGGTGTATCATTCAATTACGAGTATTTCTTTGTAAAGAGGGGTGACAAAATAATGTAGACAAAACGCATTTTAGAATATACCATTCAAAAAAATTCGCATTTAGTTACTTCAATTTCTTTTGACACATGACCACTGTTTACCTCGATGAATTATGCATCTTACTCGATGACCGATGCTTAAGTGCAAAAATCAATCACGTAAAAAACGCCTTTCTGTTAAACATGAGCTGTCAATGTTCCTCTTTTTATTTATTGGACCCCTATTGGGACGGACCGACGAACCTTTTTGACTTAAGTGCAATATATGTTACGTCAGTTTTAAACAAATAGTTATTCAAATTATGTTAAAAATACTGAATCGCTTGTGCCGTGCAACTTTATGGCGGTAATTCAAGGTTTTATGCACTAACCAGTAATTTATTCTGCTTAAGTCAATTATATACCTACAACTTCCGCTTTTTTAGATATGTTCACAATGAATTTTGAAATATAATTTATTTTAATTTATACTACAAATAATACTTTATCGATCACCGCTGCAGTTGAATGACAGAAATAGAAACAAACAAACCGACTCATAATTAACAAAATTTTAAGAGCTCGGGACGATGATTTGTCCTTATTTCTCAAGCGAAGTTAGTATACGGGAAAACACTTTAATCTGGGTAAACCTAATATAATGTACGTCATATTTAAACCATTGTGCTTGCATTTTGCAAATCAAAAAGAATAATCTCGAAATTTTCGATTGCAAATAAGAACAACGTTGAAGATCGAATATTTTCATAACCGATTTTTATCAACCCATCTCTAGTGAATTGTCAAACTAATCTATTTTAAATAGACACACTATATCAAAAGCAATATACAGATTATAAATTTTAAGGTGTCAGCTCTATCCCAATTTTCATTTCTGTATAATCTATAATATTATATACTACCGAAAAAACGCTCATCGGTAAAGTCCAAATTTCTCTTCATCTAAATATAATTTAATAGCTATTAATAGTTTTGGATTTTCTTTATCATAACATTGTTTATAAATAGTTTAATTATGTGAACGGGTTAGTTAACGAGGATCTAGTGAATGAGTGACATTATCAACATCCTGCGTAATTGCGCATGCGTCATGTTGTTTAAGATAGTCGAGAGCGACCGCTGATGGGGAAGCCAGATGGACCGGAACGAAACATTACAAAACTCCTTTGGTCGACCAATAAATTAATGTTAATTTATTATTCATTTATTTTTGGTGCGCCCGAACCGCTTGTTAATATTAACGATCTTCGCAAGGGGAAATTGAATTTTAAACGGAGAAAGTTTTTACGTTATTTGTTTACTCTTTGTACTACTAAATGCATTTTCTGTATTTTCTGTTATGATATTCAAGATTTTTATGAAACTTGTAATTAATTTGAAACTTTACTATTGGATGAATTATTAAAGAAGCAATATCCAAAATTTACTTCGATAGTAGCGAAAAAAAAATCAATTGTTTTAAAATACTTTAATATAGAAGATGGAACTTCAAAGAACGCTAGTTTCTCTCCCATTATTACAAAGCACTAATAATTATTCAAGGAAAGATAATTAACATTCTACGAAAGGACCACAAATGAAGAAAACGTTTAATAAAAACTTTATGGCATTTAAAAAAACTTTTAAATTATCTATGCTTTTTTTTCTATTATTCACAAAGTATCTAAACAGAGATCTTCATTTAACATAATTCTTCAAGATTAAAATCCTCGGTTCAGTGGAGCGTGCTGCAAAATGCGGGGAACTTTGCAAATCTTAAAGAACCAACCAAAGTAATATCACATCTTTTGATCTTTTAAATTGCTATCATATATTAAATGTACTATATATTTCTAAATTGCATCAAGCTCTTATCAAGTCCCGTTGCAAACTGTCTAGGGTATAATGTCAATAAGTTATTTTAACATAAAATATTCTAACATAATTTAAATATTTTTCGAGATCTTAAAGTTATGGGAATGAAATAAATTGTTTTTTAGACTATTTAATAAGATAACTAAATTATATCTTTAAACCATCATCACACTTCAGATCTGGTCTCCAATCCAAGACCTTCCTATTTACGAATCCATAAAAAATGGATAGTATATTATACACAGTATATAGTACACTGTATGCAACTCCTAATCTGACTATTGGTCCGTCTTAACCGGTCTCTTAACTGGTATCGTAAGCTTTGTAATCTGTTGCCAACAACAAAGTTATGGAACCACGGAGGTTCCTTACACTTAATTTTTACATCAAAAATTTCAATTGTTTTGTCTTTGGAAATAAAACACATATCATTCATCGCTAATTGATTTATAAACATTCGATGAAATTGATCCGTAATAAAAATCATTAAACTACATGACATTCAACACGTATGTATACATGAAGCGCGAATGATACGAATGTCTGCGATATTCAATATTTGCGTGTCGTATGACAAATGAAGTGCAAATATTATTGTTAATCAGCTATTGTTAAACGTCTGTCAATCGTTTAAAGAATTGTAACGATATATTCAGCACTACGAATATGTCTAATGTGAATAAATATCCATATTTTATGTTAGAAAGAAGTCGACGGTTTAAAGTCCAACTACCGTAATAAGTCTAGAAGTAGGAAGTAAGATTTTTTAAAATACTGCTAGCTATTAAAAATCCGAAAATGTCTCAGTGTATTGACCCAACACTTACTGAAATGACGTTTGTGTCCCCTCATTATTCATTGTGACACTGGACTTTGTAACGAAAGCACGTCATTTGCGCCAAATGATTCTAACTAATACTGTCTAAAAGTATATATCTACTTATTCACTGTTTATATATTCTAACCATGCAGGTAGTTATCCTCTACAGTTTGGACGTGTACGTAGCTAACATTTCACGCGTGACGTCGCCCGAGGCAGGCCATAAATTAGGGGCAGATATAGAAAATGCGACAAACTGTCTTTATCGACGATTCCGTATGCTAACCACTCCGCTTTAAGGATAAATCTCGACGTCACACTTCCTCGAAACTTATCAAAGCTCTGTTATTTATGCAAAAATGTTTTTTCTTTCTTTTTGTATAAAATATCCCTTTTAGAGATTAGATATACATAATAATGTAAACACCACAAATCATTTCCGCAATAGCTACAATGAAAAAAATAACGCACGTAAGAAAGGATGACACAGACACTGGAGTAACATTTCTTAATTAAAATCACCGCCTCTATGAGTATTCTAGTTTTAGGGAATTATAACTGAGACAATTGGGCTCTGTTACTCATAGTAAAGCTAAAGTACCTTTTCGTCTTTTCTTATCCTTATTCTAAATCTCTTTGAATCTACTAACCTAACCCAAGGCACTATTTTTGTATGGAGCGTCTCTCGTTTGACCTTTTCAGCGTTAATGTAAACTTTTTTTTTTTTAGGTTAGGCTTTAAACGACCACTAGTACATTATGTGGCCGTCCGCCGCAAGTAACTCGACGTATAGTTTGTCACTCGGGAATAGAAGCTACTAAAACACTCGGACAACTGTTTACCACTCGAAACATTGCTTAAGTTTGATGGTTGTTGTAACCATCAAAGCGCCGCAACGATGTCAGGGCCACAATAAAATGATCCCAAGCCCAATAAAACAGATCCAGTATTAAATTTATCTGTAATAAGGAACCGGTAGAAAGCATTTCACTACAACGTTAAACTAAATAATATATCACTTTGTGATTGTCAAGAGTATACTGCGATCTTCTGTGCACATTCAAAAGGGAACAAAGAAAATAACACATTATTCGTATATATATCTAGACAAAAGCAATCAATTACCGATAAATGTTCTACTACTAAATGTCGCCATGGCGACCCAACGTGGACCTCAACCTTAGCCGTCACAATTATAATTTTACATACATTAAAGAAGCAATTCTCTCTAAAGTACTATAAGGGTAAACAATTTAAATTCCTATCTACAACTCGAAGAAAAATTAGCAAATAAGGCAAAAATTAGTTGTTTAGTAATCAATGTCACATATAGAAACTAATCACACAGGATGATCCAACGATGTATAGAAAATTTTATAAAGAGCAGGAAAATATGACGGTATCAACACAATGCCAAACTGTACAAATTATTCAATCGTGATTATTCCGCCTTCGATAAATATAACATCCTATTGTTCTAAATATGTTTTATTCCCACCACCTCAGTAGGCCTACGTAAAGGCGTGCCATAAAAGTTTGTGGTTAGTAGCAACAGAACCACAGCTTCCCCAACGTCGTGGGACGACGCGGAGGCTGGCCGCACCACGCTCTCGAGTCAGGCTCGAATGTCAACCGCGTCCATATACTGTATGTAATTACACGCCATCATGTCACGCCCGCGAAAAATAAATCAAGCGAACTACTACGTAATTTAATATTGTCGTAACGAGATTTTAAAACTGTTTTCGCATGTCGTTTTTGCCAATAATTAATGCGCTTTAGTTAGGTAAACAAGTCACAAAAATGTTGTTTTCTTTTCATTTTTACTTTAATTACTTCATTCAAATAGGCGAACCGATTAATTAGCTTAGTACATATAACATTTCAAAATTCATATTATATTTAATCGATAAATACAATATCTATTAAAAATTGTTAAAAAATTCTATTGAATGAGTTACATTATTACACAATTATTAAAATTTTACATTCAACGCTATTCGAAAACGATTATAAATCTCGTTTTTCACTACCCAAGCTATTTAAAGCGAAATCGATTTGTTGAATACATTATATAATTACAATTTGGATGACGAAACTGGTGTACTAATTGAATCGTTAGCAATTACTGAATTAATAATATGCTTTGAACTACATGTATTGTGTAAAGTTTTTATGTAATCAACAAGGATACGGAGCAGTCGTATTGTAAACTGACCACGTGTCTCCTTCATTGCCAACAGCATTAAATATTCATACCAATGTCTCCTTCACGTCTTTTCTTTCGTATTCCATGTAAGAAATCTCGATTTTATACATTGCCAAAAATGTGCGCATCAAAGCTTCAATTCGGATGCAAAGTTTTTTTAAGTTTAAATACTTCTTATAACAAAATTATACTAAGTAGTATAGCTGAGTGTCTTATATTTGTTGCTTTTTGCCTCTGCTTACTACCAAAAGCACTTATATAAAATTTCCTTTGTTTGCTTTATTAAAAAGAAACCGTTCGTAAAAGATATTTGTGGCTAAAGTGTATTATCAGACATTGCCTCCCGCCACTCGATAACCGCTCGTTTGTTTAAGCCAGTAATTGCGTGGGTAGATCCAGCGCCGATAAATTGCAGGTTCGCGTATTATATAGCAAGGGAATTAACACTAACAGGTTACAGAGCATGCTGCTAGCTGGTAGCTATCGTGCGACACACTGGAGCACTTTACACAAAGCCCCGAGCGCAAAATATAGACGCAGCGATACCATCCCCCACATTATGTTCATCCTTTGTAACCCTGACGGTACAATGGCTTGCCGCCTCTTGTATTTTCAACCCTTTAGTCGACAACACGTCTAACATCCAGCTTTTGCATTAGCATTTAACCGCACTTTATCAAAACTATAAATCTTTAGTAATATTGTAAATGCGAAAGTTCGAATGCAAGTTTTTTAGACAGTAACTCTAAACGGTTCAACGGATCTCTGAAATTTAGTGTATATGAAAAACATATTATAGAAGAACACATAAACTAGTGTAAGTTTTTTTTTAAATTCCGCGCGAATGCAGTCGACAGCGAAAACTATTCTTTGAATAAATCTAGTACATAGTTTTACGTGTGACACTAATGGTTGTATTAGACGTTGAATAATAAAAATAAATCTTAATAAATGATAAAAATATAAAAACTTTTTCCCTATGAAATTCAAAATGCAATTCGCTATCTTGTAAACAGATATAAATCTAATAATAGCGACGAAGCCCCAAGTTGTTTTCCCACGATAACAAGTAATGTGGCTAAAGTAAAAAACTAGAATGTGAGAGACAGGGCCTGTTCTGACGCACAAGGAGTCAGCTCGCTGCATATTTCTTGCATCTCGTATCTGACGTAAATGATTATCACCGCACTTGTCTTATTTCTATTTGTATATAAGTGTGTGTGCTCCTTTATTTATAAAATATCCGTAACACATAAAATGCTCGTTAGATTACTGGTTACAAAAAAAATTAAATAAGTTTCGATCGCACCAATCTATATGCCAACTAAGATCGCATTCTGTTTAAAAATCAGACAAATGGGAAATTATTAATTTATTTATATCATTCTTAACTCGTTTATAAATATCCATTATCACAACTATACGTCTGTGAAATATAACAACGCTTGAGAACGATTATTGTTATTAAATAAAGAAACAATAACAATAAAATAAAACAAGACATAACGACACAAAAATAGTATCGTTAACAATTTACTAATGCTTAATTTAGCTACAAACAACTAAAGTGCACAGTAATTGCTAAATAGATGCAAAAGTATGCACATTCGATACCCTGCCTCCCATTCGGAGTGCTCGGTCTAAGTGACGTAGAAATAACGGGGGAAACGTAGGTGTTAAATGCATTCTCAGACACATTGCAATTTGCCCGGAGATTAAACCAGCAACATCTGGCTTGCAGAATTATCCTACATAACGTATGAATGCACATTTTATATCTTTGTATTCAACGATATCACAATATATTTACCATGATTATAATGCATTTTAATTATATTTGTAATTGATTATGAGCTTGACATTATACTTATGAACCATCTGTGATTAAATACACTAACTCAGAGTAGGCTTTGGAGTCCCTCAGTGGGATATATAGTGAGCTGATGATGATGAAATACGATATGTTACTAATTTAACAGTTAGTTTTTATTGTTCAAACGCCACAAATCATATAGTAAGACATTTTTAGATGTTTCGGCAATGTAAACCCTCTGTAACAAATTATCATATCATTTTTATAACAAAAACATAGTATTTTATGTTAATATCCTTGATAATATCGAAAACTTCACGACATTTACAAATACCAAGTCTGAGTACCACTTATTAGATTCAACCACTACGAAGTAACATCAATCAATACATATACTGTTAAGGATTTAAATCAAGTGTCCATTGTTACAGGCAGAAGATGGCGTGTGTGGAGAGGATTAGGCACTAATCCAAAATGGCCGTCGCCCGCGCGGTCCTGGTCCTTTTAGCGTCGACGGCGCACGCCTGGATGCCGGATGCTAATGCACGGATACACGTTAAATACGGTAACTGATACCTTCATATATCTTACTCTGAATGATACATTTATACCACTTCGTCTTCGTCATGTGCAACTAACGACCCACCCGGCTTCGTATGGTACGCTGTTTTATACATTCCATAAAGTTGGGGTAATAAGGTGGCTACATCCCGGGAACAAAAAAAAAGATTTATAAAGTACTTCGAATAAGGTGACTACAATCCATATAAGATCCAAATAGATACCTCAACAGCTATTGCTCTTTGCAATAAAAAAAATTACTATAAGTAGGTAAAGAACCCGTTTGTATTTAACAAATTGTCCTTATTTGGTCAACGCTATGGTATTCTTTCGAACATCTATGTATGTTCCAAACAGATGTCTTTGTATCTATTTTTATGTCCCACTTCCTGCGTGGTATAAATGGGATCAAATCTATATATATTTAAATATATTCATCAAAGTTTGTCCTGGCAGTGGAAACCCACATTTAATATGCAGAAAAATCACCCTTAGTTGTTCATAATAATTGTTATAATCATAATGCGTAAGGTTAAAAGGTGTGAGAACTTTTATCTTGACTGTCATGGCGATGTTAATATTTATAAAATGTGCTGTTCTGCGCGTTTATTATAACAAATATTTTACCTTAACTTTATTTAAAATTAAAACGATATACTAAAGTTATGACGTCATACACAGTAATCATATTAAACGCGCAATGAATATAAAACATAAATTAACATCAATACGTTGAAATCTTAATTTCCAATTATAAATTAATTTTTTCCGCATAATAAAGTTAAAGCTTAATGATTTTCAAATATTAATTTAAGCTTTTGAGTTAAAGTTTTGTGGCTTCCATTCGAAAACGTGTAGTATGTAGGGGACGGAATGTATACGTTTATGCAATAATTTTCCTCATACGTGCTATGCGCAGAATTTAAATGGAGTAGGCATTTCTTACGTGAGTTAGCACTGCAGGTGCAACACGGCTGACAATGTTAATCGTGTGAAACACGCGAGAATTTTTCAAATAATCGTTATGAAATCGACAATTCTTATTGCTGTTTAATCGCATTACAAAAGAGCTTTGTCCTCACTTCCACGTAGGCCTGGGTAACCACACTATTGTAAATCTACCTTTATTTTCGCATTCGCTTTGTATTTTTGATTGGGGTTTGCTTTTATTAAGATGTTGTGACGTTCTTAGAGATCTAAAGTTACAATGCCTTAAGTAAATTTAAATATATTACGTTACTAGTTGTCGCACGCAACTACTTCTGCGCGGTATTAAGAAAAAACTTCATTAGTTGCCTATTTGTACTTTCAAATTATGAGATCTATACAATTGTTCTCGATATACCTTCAAACAATCATCCAACCATCCATCCACACATTCGCATTTATAATATTAGTAAGATAAAAAAGTACACTATGAAATACAGGAAAATACGCTCAGTTTACATTAAAGCTATTATTGTACGTATAAAATCAATGCAAATCTAGTTTGATACTGTTGTTAACATCGCATTATCATAATAATTAAATTGGCAACAAATTGATTGCAGTGCGTAACAACAAGGGGGCGGTGAAAGCCGTAATCAAATTCAGCTTGTTACCGCTTGCCAGCTCGGCCGGCGAGCGCGACGTGTAATGCTAAGCTGGCCAAGCTAAATCTGTATAATCCACGTCCAATTACCACGAATCCTGTTAACTCTGCCAGCATCGTAAATGTATTTACTACATGCACCAACATGCTCTGTAACGCTGACCGTAAAGCTTGTATTCGGCTTTGTTCATTGGCGCCGGCGTTAAAAGCCTTTGTAAAATATATCTAGAATTAGCTTTCATTAAGCTGCCTAATTAGTAAATCATCAGTACCTTTTTGATAGTCACTCCAATGTGGTACAATCTGGAAATAATCCGGTTAAAACCAGATAAAACCGGACCATCATGACATGTACACCTGAATTGCTTCCAAAATATATATTTACTATTAAAGAATAAATTTTCTAGGTAATTAATCTCATTCTTCTCTTATTACAAAATAAGGATAATTAAAATTCAAGTAATTAAAATGGAAGACTCCATCTGAGACGTTTGAAACTACTTCGCTATGCAAATGGCAGTGACAAATGACAAAACATCGAATTTCACTCGATACAATACCTCGCGACCCACTTCGCATTAATCACTGTGAATAATGAACATAGTTTTTACAACAAATACGTAATGAACTACGATGAAGAATAATTTTAAACTTGTCATATTAAAATATCCACACAAATAGCACCATTAGTAGAATCGTAAACCACTAAATGGGTCATATGGTCATATAGCTAGATGGTAAAGCTCATTCCACATTTAGCTACCACATAACTCGGTAAAAGTAACGGAAAATGTTGATTATCATCCAAGACTATCGCGGTCACAACCTTTGGTAGACGCACCTTTACTTTGCGTACTACATTTTGGCATTTTTATATCATTAGACCTAACAGACCAAAACCTCTTCTGTGGACGAATTTCTTTGATTTTTAAATTCTTTCCCTACCTAGAGTCCTTGGTAATGTTAACAAAATATACAATAGCTTTTAAATTTCTAAATTAAAAGTGCCTACATAAATAAAATAACTTTTGCTTTTTATTTATTTAAATCTTACCTTAGTATAGTATTTAGTAAGTTATAGTGAAATAATATTCTGAAATTGAGTATTCAGTTTTTTAAACTAATTAACACTAATTGAAATATCTGTTAATAAATTCAAATACGTAACTTCTTTTGAAATCATTTCCAATATTTTTAATTAACTGATTTAAATGTGCTGAATATTCGATAGCGAAGATCTCGAATTCAAAACTAATTATACGTTTCGTTGAACTGCATTAAATAATGAGAAGGTAAATAACCTTGTAAGATGTTCTTATTTAATCCAATTAGAGAAGACTTATCCAGGGTTGTTAATATCCAAGAAACATAGACCCAAAGGCGACAACAAAGGAAAAACGACTAGTATATTTTCATCCTTTGATTTTTTAATTGACAACGTAAACAACTTCTATAGAATTGTTTTGTTACATAGTCTGACCCATAGACGTCGATGAACTGTGACTCCAAGATGCACCAGAAAGCAAGTCAATCTCGAAGAGGTAGCAGCCCTAGTAACCGCTATCATATCTATAGTTACTACTTTTATTCCATCTTATTTTCAAATGGCTATTGTTAATATGTTTACTCAAGTTCAATTGTTTTTTACCAAACAAAGAATACTGTTTGACGTAAAACTTTATCCTTTATATACACGTATTAAATCTTCTGAAACGTATGGTATTTATGAAATAACCTGTCCGCTTAGAAAAAATATTTCATGGCAAAGAAATACGCGTTAACCCGTTTGTTAGCGCATTTTCTAATTATGTCTCCATTGGGTTGTATATTTATGGACGCGTTCTTTTGTTTCAGGCGAGGAGACTTCAGAGCAGTTTGTGGGCAACTCAACCGCGCCTGACCACTTTCGTATATTAGACAAAGATGATTTTTCAATCGTCGTCGGTGGCAGGTGAGTTCATTCAGAGCGTACTCATTTCTTCAATCGGCGTAAATAATATTATTATTATCATTTTACCTAGTTATCATTTTTTATATACAATGAACATATACTGACTAAAATAATATTTTTTGTGTTAGCTATAATCGAAATCGGTCATGAGTACGGTATTATCACTGACACTATTGCACACTTAATTTTTTTTTTTTATAATAGAGAACGACGTATAAATTAACATGAATTATAATATATCTTTACATACATATTTATTCAGGTGATCAAACCTCCTTGGATGCTATAATTTTTCAAATAATAAGCCAGCTATGTAAATTGAGAATTACGAAATTATATATTCATTTGTTACAGAAATGCCGTTTATAATTTAAGCCTGTACGACTTGTCTGAAAACGTTGATCAGGTAAGTTTTAATACCATGTATTTTAATATTAATTTTGTAGTTTTAAATACTTTCATCGTTGTCATTATCTTTGGTCAAACAGAGATAAAATATGTTTAAATCGGGGATTTTGGTCTCACAAACCCATCTATATAAAACAAACTTGTCGCTCGCAGATATGGATAAGGTTAGGAAACTTTGGATATAGTAATAATATTATTTAGTATAAAAACTATTCGACTTAAGCTTTTTTGTATGTAAAAGTTAACTACGTTTAATATAGAAACACAGTATTAATTTAAGGAATTAATTCATTCCAAATAGAAGGTGGTTTAATGTTATTTAATGCCCTAGAGTTTTGTTAACTTCCCGTGAGTACGGCGAAAACAAATATTGTTAGCTCTTTTTTTAAAGGTAACAATTTATTTTCTTACAATTGTTTCGGCAGTGCAAACTCACGTTACGTGCTTTCAACGAGACATTTTTTTTTTATCAAACGGTGACAAGTAGTCTTATCTACTATTTACTTATAATTTAGAGCGGAATGATAAAGGTGCGGCTACTGTACCGGAATTCTATATCAAAATGACTTGAAATAGATTTAAAATCTTTTAGACAAAGCAAAAACTTTGTCACGTGTGATTAATGAAAAACTTAAGCCTTTATTTCCAAGATTTTATAAAATAACATATTTTATAAATTTTATTTATTTCATTTATTTTATAAATTACTATAAAAACAAGAATTTTACGTATCACAAAGTAAATGATGAATGGATATAGGAATGTGATTCATCAGTACGCTACCTACATGCAACATTTAGGGCTGCCAACATTCAATTAAACTTAACCCGAACAGTGCTGTTAAAAGAAAATACGACATCAATTATTATTTAGCAGATAAGGAAATTAAAAAGATCAGAATTCGTTTAAACAAAACTTAAAGTAACAACTTAGAAAAATAAAATAAAAAGTGAAATATTTTAATGACCGCCGTTTACGGAATTCAACGGTTTACTTACCGTGGGATTCTGAGACCAAAACATAGTATTCCGGTTTTATCGAAGATATGTTTTATACAGAGATTTTGGTCTACGAAACCAACGATTAGGCTTGTATCGAAATTAGATATATGTCAAACTAGTAGTCTGAATATGCACTTTACAAAGCTGTAGGGGCAGCCCTACCTATGCATGATTGTGTTGGTTCGCATCATGCATTAATATATACGCGGAATTCGCTGCAACCGTGATTGTAGCCATTGCGAGTATTTGCAAGTCAAGGAAGATTTAAATAAACGTCTCGCACATGATTTCATATACGTACATGTAGAGAAGTGATAAAGTGCCTTATGTATTACTTTGATAAAATGTACTAATTATAATTATTTTAATGACGCGAAAATTTTTATTTATGTATGTAAATGGCAATCAGTAATTCTGCAATTTTTTTTTTGTTAAAAACTGTAAAATTGCATGTAATGTAAGTCTCAAATATAGACTGGGCTGAGTCAGTTTGTAGCTACAGATATACAAAAATGATGTGTATTTTTATGTAATGCACAAATCAAACGGGGTTTGAAATGTCAAACTATCTTTCGAAACATATTGCAACCAAAATTAAATTAAAAAAATACGACCTTATAATTATGTACGTTCTTTTACAATGACAAATATAATCAATAACCTTGTTAAAACTTGTATAACAAATATTGTTATCTCTACGGCACAATACTCTGTACGATCAAATTGGTAAAGTTACATTACACACTTTTGATGAACGCGCACGCGATAGTTCACCTAGTTCTTATTCACGACGCAATATAAGTTTTTAGATTAAATTAAAATTGTATGCAAATTGTTGTTACCTTATTTGTTAGTTACCTGACCTACATCGCTCTTGCACGAGTTTCGAGGTGAAAAGTTAGAGTGCAAATAAAAAATTGTCAAACGTATTAATTATAAGTTACATGATTATTTATTCAAAAGATTTACATAAAAAAAATGCAAACTATATTACATATGTAGATATACAGGTTCTTTCAATCAATTAAATGATAATTTTCTTTTTAATTTTTTTTATTTCATTAGGCAATATTTTTGGCCAGTTTCATTAGTATTGTAAAGTAAAAATGTATATCAATAGTGCGTGTGTGTGGGTGTGTGTGTGTTTAGTCTTTAATGTTGCATACATGAGTATAGATCTTTGGAAGTCATAAACGAAAGGGTTTCGCGAAGCACTTTACCCAATGGGGAAAGCAGAATTTTTAACCTTTCACAGAATGAGGAAAAGCGGGGCCCCTATAAGTGTGGGGTCCCAAGTAGTTTTCCCTCCGCTCCTCGCAAAAGCCATCTCAATGTTTAGATTGCTCTTATAGATTAGATCCCTAAAGGCTTTGAAGTACGAACTATAGTCTAAAAACATTGCTGGTTTATTTGAGTGATAATTCAAATATCGATTAAGGAAATAATTTATTTATGTGATTAAAATAAAAAAAAATATTTTGCATTATCTATGACCGCTATTACCAAGTTTAGAATTTTTCTTAAATTGTTATTTTCTAATTTGCTCATTATTAAGAAGAAAATACAGTGGAATCTGGATAAACGAGAATCCTAGTGTCTGTAATATTTTTCTCGCTTATAAAGGTTTCTCTTTAGACCTATTTTCTCACTTATGGAGTTCGTATGTCGGGACCGGACAACGTCTCTCGCTAATAGAAGTTGCTCACTTATGTAGGTACGACTATGTAATATTACTAAAAAAGTACGACTAAAACTTAAATTTCTCTGATATTATACGTATCGACACAGATCTTTGATATTGATGTAACCAATATAGAATTCATAACATAGCCAGAACCAGCGTAGTTTTAATATCGGACAAAATTAATGGCATCACAAAATACGCATAAAAATACCAAATACACGAGCGTCGGACTGTTGGCACGCCGCCATGTTCCACCAGATATTGGTAAAGTTTCACTCGTCACAGAACCATATTTCGTTACCGATACTTCCATTACCGGGCACCGTATAAAATTGGGAATATTTGTTAGTCTGTCACGAGTACGAGTAATTGTTTTTATCTGAAAAATTTACAGTAAGAGCTAACGTTGAGAAATTACAGATATTTATACTTAATATAATAATTGTAAAATACAATTTAGTAATCCTTCCAGTTATTTTATTTTCTGTAGATCCCTGTATTGACCTATATACTTCACAAGTAAATATAAATGATACTACAAGGGCCTCGTTAGGGTTGGCATTAAAAATGAGTCTCGCAGCTTGGTCGACTTCCTGTAACCGATTTCAAGTGAACCGTGTCGGCGTGCCCGCCGGCTTGTGAAAGTCAATGCATGTGCGCGTTTCTCGCTACAATCAAACCAGTATTTTCAATGACTACTCGAATTAATATGCAATTTATTCGCCACAATCACTTCTTATATAAAAAATCGATTTTATTTTTTTCTGTACACAATTACAAAAGCTTTGCTTTCTTTGTAGCGTTTAGAATGGCAGTCAACAGACGCACACAGAGAACTATGTCAGCTGAAGGGCAAGTCAGCAGACGAGTGCCAGAACTATCCACGTGTGGTGGCGCGCTCGCACGGTCGCTTGCTGGTTTGCGGTACCAATGCCTTCAAGCCACTCTGCAGACGGTACGACACTTCGCGACAGAACCACCGCGTCGAAGAGTTTGACGGATCCGGACGATGCCCATACGATCCGGAACATAATTCCACTTCTTTATTTACTGGTAAGAAGAATTATTTTTATCTATTTATGTACTTACATTCCATATATGTACTAAAAGAAAGACTTGTGTGTTAACTTTTAAGGATCTTTTTAAGGGAAATTCAAAAATAGAACTGCCATGTTACGAGTTACGACATACGTTTCCATGGTCAGTTCATTATAGTGGCGATGTTTTTTATCACTTACTAGCTATTGCCCGCGTGGAATGAATAAAAAATAATTAGTCCCCGGCAATTATTCAAAGTTTTCTCTTTCCCTAGACCTCCACAAACATTTCAAGACCAAGATAATATAAATCCGTTCAGCCGTTCTCGAGTTTTAGCTAGACTAACGTACATCAATAGATTTGTATATGTCACTTATTTATTTTATCGAGTACAGAGTATCTTCTGGCATTATGTATGACTAATACTTTATACCTACCTACTCTATTTTTCAATCATATTCATAATATAGTTAACAAGTTACACCATGAAGTTTTATTTCTGGCATTAACTGAATCAATTTAATATACAATTGTGTTTTCAATTAAAAATTGTACTAATAATTTCAAAGTAAGCAAAAGTTTCCGTGATTAAATCGGGAATGTGAGGGTATATCAAAAGTTATCTAGCACAAGTATTAATAAGTTAACCACAAACCCGGAGCAGAGAGCGCACGATTCTCCAAATTGACTACACCGTTACACTTAATACGCTTTCTTATAACTCATAACGTAACCGCAGAGGCTAAGTCATTCCGATGGTCTACTACATTGACATCACGTAAAATCACATTAAGAACTTAAATTATCACAAAAAATACATAGAGTTCATTTCGTCATCTCAATTAGATACCTACATACATATCAGTACAGAATGTAAAAATGAAAGGTTATCTTGATCTATATCCCTTAAGCTTGATAGGATTATAACTTTTAAACACAAACTTGTTGACAAAGAAACGTAACTAAGTCAGTGAAAATTATTATTCCAGATGGTCAGTTGTATACCGCGACGGCAGCCGATTTCTCCGGCACAGATCCCCTGATCTACCGCGAGCCGGTGAAGACAGAACGCTCAGATCTCCGAATTCTCAACGATCCGTCTTTCGTCGGAGCAATCGCTTCCACCAGCCATGCCTACTTTTTCTATAGAGAAACCGCTGTAGAATACATGAACTGTGGAAAGGTCAGTGTACTTATATCTAATACCAATTCTAAAAAACACGATATTATAATTCGCAGCTGCGCGATAGCGACTTGTTTTGTATAAAACAATTTTATCGTACAGGCGGTGTACTCACGAGTTGCCAGAGTCTGCCTCAACGACAAAGGCGGACCACACACTTTCAGCGAGAGATGGACTTCATTCCTAAAGACGAGACTCAATTGCTCCGTGCCTGGGGAATACCCGTTCTACTTCGATGAAATACGTAAGTTTGATAAAAAGAACCTAATTATAAAATGTTGCTTTAACAAACGGTATATTAAATATCAATAACCCTTAACAGAAGCAACGACTGAGCTAATCAATGGAATATACGGCAGCGGAAACACAAGGAACGACATAATTTACGCCGTTTTCACGACGCCTCAGAACGCGATAGGAGGCTCGGCGGTGTGTGCCTTCGCTATGAGAGACATATTAGACGCATTCGACGGACCTTTCAAAGGACAAGAGAGCATGAACTCGAACTGGTTGCCGCTAGAAAAAGAAAAAGTACCACATCCTAGACCTGGATCCTGCGTAGAGGATAGTAGAACATTACCAGATTCCGGAGTAAACTTTATAAAGACGCATCCATTGATGGAGAAAGCGGTTCCCTCATTCTTAGCGCGGCCGATACTGATCCGAGTCAGTCTGCAGTATCGTTTTTCAGCGATCGCCATCCATCCTCAGGTGCAAGCTATGAATGGGAACAAGTATGACGTCATGTACATTGGTACTGATGACGGGAGGGTCATTAAAGCTGTGAACGTGGCTGCGAATGATGGTTCGTTTGACGCGAGCGTGGATGAGTACAGCAGGAACCCTGTGAGGACCGCGGTCATATCTGAAGTGCAAGTGCTGCCGAGCGGAGTGCCTATAAAGCAAATGCACGTCGCACTCACCACGGAGAAACTGATTGTAGCTTCGGGAGATATCATCAAAGGAGTTTCGCTTTCGCATTGCACCAACGTTCTATCGTGCAGGTAACATATCACGTCATTTTCTTGAATAACACTTTTAGTTGTTTTAAAAGCTAAATTTCATCTAGCAATTAATGTAGTATCCTGAATTTGTTTAGTTTTTAGTATTTTAAATCACGTTGAAAATGTCCCTAATTTATTATGTTATATATAAAATTCTCGTGTCACAATTTTCGTTCCCATACTCCTCTGAAACGGCTTGACCGATTCTTATGAAATTTTGTGAGCATATTGAGTAGGTCTGAGAATCGGCCAACATCTATTTTTAATCCCGCGCGGACGGAGTCGCGGGCAACAGCTAGTAATAAAATACTTTGTTGTCTAGTTTTTTTATTCTAAAACTCTGTAGACAGATAAGTTATACAATTCTCATTATAATTGTTATTGTTATTCTTTGTACTTGTTAACACAATATCAGTACAAAGGAGTGGCTTATCATTTACGATAAACGTCATTAGTCATAACTATAGCTTTGTTTTTTTTTATAAGTAAATATGTGATACATATTACTAAGTCTCAATTAAAAATATAAACAATATAGGGTCAAACATTATTCATATCGTAGTTTTACAAAAAAATAATCTAATAAAGTACTTTATTTAATAAATTCTATTATAAACAGGGAATGCGTGGCGTTACAAGACCCGCACTGCGCGTGGGACTCGAAGGAGCAGCAATGCTCGTGGGTTGGCAACAGACAGTTCCCGAACCCGGAGCGGTTTCTGCAGAACGTGGAGTACGGGAAGACTGAGGTGTGCAACAAGCTGCCCGCGCTGCTGCCGGAGCGGCGCGCCAAGCAGCCCAGCGACACCGTCACACAGGACGACGTTCGCAACGAAATACTCATAGAGGTCGTCGAGACCAACGTCGTCTCCGAAGACAAGGCGACCAACAATCATAAACATGAAACTGGTAAATTACTTATAATTTTCTTTAAAATAGCAATAGACCTCGACTTCCTCAGCTCAGGATAAAATCCCGTCAAAATCGGCAGTTTACCCGGAACAAACGCAGCGTTGCAGAAAGACAGACGGAGAGACCATTTTTTTCCGAAATTACATAGAAGCACTGCAATTTCATTAATATATGTAGATATTATTTTTGAATACTTTTTATACTAATTATTGTAGTATGCACTACATGATTGTGTAAATGTATTGCAGATCTGCTGACAGTGGAGGCAGCAGACGGCAACATCTACAGCGCGCAGGCGCTGCTCACAGCAGTCGTCGCCTCCTGCCTCGTCACCCTCATGCTTGGTTTCGTCATCGGTTACCTCTTCTCCAGGAGATTTCGTCATCCCTTCTTCGCTGATACTTCGCCGTTTAATGAACAACACAACCACTTGAACAGGTAAACAACTGTTTAGAAAATCTAATTAAATGACGATATTACAATCATTATCTATCAGATTAGATATACAAAAAATACATTGACTAAGTTTAAAAACAAATGTTATTTCAGTGGAATTTTATGGTTAAATAGCAATTTCTTGGGTCGTTTTCAATGTAATGTTAAAATTGAAACATTTTCTGTTTCAGACTCAGTCCCCTGGAGACTCCATTAAATGTCAACTCCGGGTACATGCCGCCCCGTTCTAAAAACGTGAATATGGTGGCAAACGTCGGGCCGCTAGTCAAACAAGACAACCTGCATTTAGAGCTGGGCAAAGACCGCTCTCTAGACATGAGAAACTCAACCGAATCCCTCGACAAGGACCTCAAGTGCGGCACGCTACAGAAAGTTAAAAAGACTTACATTTGAAACCAACAAACAGTGTACGGTTCCATTAGAAAGTGATAGTGACAATGAGTAGTGCCAAGTGTTGCCGGCTGGCTCGGAGTATGACAATGTGACGATTTATAGTAACTGTAAATACTTCCTGTATAGCCGAGTAAGTGACTAGTCTTTCACATTTGGAGACTATTATAAAAATGTGCTCGACTGTTCCGCGGCTTGTGTGCGATAAACTATTCGTGATTTTAATCATCAAGACGCCGATGTTAAACCAAATAATCTCTGGTGCATGGACATTTAGACATCTGAAGTTGTCTATACCTGTCCACCCCTAGGACAGTACGGTCGTGAGGACTTTTTTCTTTGTGACGACTCTGTTTTGTTTGAGCAGTGTAAGATTGCATTTAGGTATTAGAAATTAACGATAGGAACTTTTCCTTCAGTATTTTAATCCAATATTTACATCTTATAAAACTATTTATCAAAATAAATGAAATAGTTTTATGATTTGTAATGAGAATATTGTGTGAATATTTAATACTGTTTGTAACATAAAATTTTAATTTGTTTAGAACCTATTTAGCTGTAAATTTATAGGTTATGATACTAAATGTGGACAAATAATAAATACTGGAAGTGTTACGCCTGATGAAAAAAAATAGCACAAAAGTTCTATAGAACTTAAATGGAACTTTAACTCAAAGGCAATCTTTGTTGATTAAATTGTTAATTAAAGAGATGAATCTGACTTTATCTGAACAAAGCATGATATTAAGGCAGTATTAAATATTCACTTTTTACATTCCATGTTATGACTAAATTTTTAGAAAATAATCAAAATACTGTTCTTTGTAAATATAAATTTGTATATAAGATTGCTAGGAGATTGTGGTCGACATAGTCCCACTGGACACTAAGTGAACTTGTTTGCATTGGCAATGTTTCGTGTATCATATGATAGTTGAAGCATATATAAAATATTGCGAAGCAGTACTAGCTCAAACAGCTGTGGCCTGTAATGTTTGATCAATAATTTTACATTTGTTTTAAAGGATTTATGATTATATAATAAATTGCTGTGCTAAGTGCATAGTGCCTTGTAGGTTGCCAATTTAGTGCCTAATGTATTTTAGGATACAACAAGAGTTATAATAGATGTTTAATAACCTGTTGTATTATAATTTTTTTTAAACAGAATTGATTATATGAGGTTGGTTGAATCCGCTTTGTATATAACATACCCACAAATTGTAAGACTGTCAAGACATATTTTATTTCCATATAATAATTTGCTCTTTACCTACACATATGTACACTATATTGATTTTTTATATTTTTTTAATCTAACAAACATTTCGTCGATATACTGTGAGTACTTCGATGCCTCGTATATTTATTCTTAATTTTTTTATTGAGTAACCCTGAATGTGACTATCATTAGGCTGAAAAAAACCACCAGAGATTATAAAAAAAAATTATTAAGTGTTCCCACCGTGAAACAAATCAAAGTTTATTAAGTTAAGCCGAAATTGCTTATGTTTCCTGTATTTCTTAAAAAAATTATATTACTTTAATTGTGAATTTTTTAATTGCTTTCCTTGAATGTTGTAAAAAGAATTGTTTATATATTTTATAATAAAATTGAGAATGTGTATAAAAAAACCTATTACACATTACATTAAATTTTCATTCAAAAGCAGAATATTGTACTTCAAGATTATGTATTATTTATATACTTTAATTAAATAAACCAATTTAAATATTACAAATTTTTTAATTTCAATTATTCCTGTTCCTAAATAATCATAATGGTTAGTGGAATCAGTCTTTAAATAGTGGGATATCAGTACCACAAAATTTCACTTTATCCTCATTTAAAACATATTTTTAAATGACACATAAGATGTTTGATAACAAAATATGTAATTAAATTATAAAAACATATTTAATTATAAATAAACATTTATTGGTCTGTAAATAAGACTAGATTCATTTTATATCTAACTAAGATTTCTATACAGATAAAAATATACACAATATAATTAACAGTCACAATAATAGACTGATGGGATATTTAATATGTTTTTAATGTGGGCTTGGAGCTATAATGGACACATGAAACTTAGAGAGCTGTTTTATGATCACAACAAACATAAATCAGATTCTTTATCAACATCAGCTTACTATAAGTCTCCACTGAGGAGCTTGAAGCGTTTTTTTTTTCAGAGGGAAATGCTTTATGCATACTCCGCGCCCCGGGGAGGACGCGGTAGTTATGTGGGATTCTCTTCAGCTGGGAAGCATACCCAGTAAAACCTCTGTTCCTCCAACGCATCGGGACGGGACCACGGGCACGCTTTCACTCTCGTCCGCGGGAGGAGCTTGAAGCCTAGCCTAAGTTAGAGGCGAAGGGTAATACATATCTTTGAATTTCTTCATGATATGTACAGCTTGCATTACAATGTTTTCCTTCACCGTAAGAATTTGGATGAATGTACATATGAAAAACATATATAGATTGAGAATTTAACTAATATTTAACTGGTATCAAGATAATTAATATAGTTAGAAAGATATTGACGCTTTTCAATTGCAGTCTTAACAATTTCTCTATCAATAATAATATGATCATCACAAATTACAGGCTCATGCTTAATTTCTGAGCATCCTTCGTGGAGTATAACAAAATTATGTAAAACACAAGCGGCAAGGATAATAGTGTCATTAGATTCTTGTTTGTTAACATCCAAATGGTTTAATTTCTTAAAACGGTCTCTTAACAATTCAAATGCATGACCTATATAACTACGAGCCTTCCAATGCACCTCATTGAATTTCATTTCCTCACTTGTCAGCAGCTCTTCACTTGTGAATGGTGTTATTAGATTTTTTCTTAACCTATAATTTGAGTCGCCGAGAATGTGGTTTTCAAAATCAATAAAATTTTTAAGTTCTTTAGAAATTTGGCTCTGTCTGAAAACTCTACTCTTTCTTGTATCCCCAATTTTTCCAATGTGCACATCAATAAAGCTCAAGGATTCATCACAGACAGCTTGCAATAATATTATTTCAGGACCATTCTTTCCATGTCTTTTAGAGCCGACTTTGAGCCTACATGCATCAATAAATCCTACACAATTTGGGAATTTATATCTGCTGTTTACTTTTACTCTGGTCATATGTTGCTCCTTTATAGAGGGCCAATTTATATAATTATTTTGTTGTTTAGTGAGCATTGAAGCAATTTCATAAAAGATGTAACTTACAGAGGATTTATGTAATCCAAACAACACACCAGTTTCACTAAAAGAGTAATCACTTGTTAGAATCCATAAGAAAATATGCACTTTCTTCTCTAAAGGAATAATTGTACAGCCAGATTGAATTTCCTTTAAACAGTTTATCAGTGCCTAAAAAGAAGAATAATTATTTTTTTTAATTTCACCCATATGGATAAAAACTTACAAAAAAAAAAGTAATGGGTGATACCTGTACAGTACTCATCTTCATTTGATATTTTTCAAGATAATCCTCATCAGTAAATTTAACAACAAAATTTTCGAAATATGCTTTTACATTTGTGACTTCTGATTTTTTCATAACTTTTTGTTTTTTTTCTCGTATTATTTGTGTGTTTTGTTCTTTTATTAAAAGTTCATCAAAACAGCTCGTATTTTCGTTATTCTCGTTAACAACGTTGGCTACTGCTACTACTACTTTGTTCAGTGTGGAGACAGTGTCGTCTAAAAAGAAATCCATGACAAAATCTTTATCGAAATTCATTTTATACTGAGTATTTTAATATAGCTAATATATCTCTATTTATTTTCATAAACAACGAAATCAAACTTTGGTTTTACAGTTTACTATTTTAGCGTAAGGCAAGGTCACAAGTTCTATCTATACATTGTACTTATTTGGCTTAAAAATTTAGCCAAAATTCGCAATTTAATAAATATAGCGAAAGCAAATCAAATCACAAAAATATTTTCATGTCAATGTCATATTGTTGTCAAAATATCAATGACATTGGATATGCTACCCAAAGAGTATATGATGCTAACAGTCAAAAACAGGTTTTGACCATAGACTAAAAATGTCCTCTGTGATATCGACTGAACTCTTATTTTTATAAATCAACTAATGTTAGAATTCTACAGCAAAATCCAATATTTTAACATTTTACTTCATATTTGTAAAATGCAATGGGAATATGAAACAGTATAAGGCCGGTATCTGCAGTTCCTCTGGTATTGCTGATGTCCATGGGCGTTGATGAACACCGAGGTGTTCCCGTTACTCGTTTGTCCCCTTCTTTTATAAATAAAAGTAATTTCTGAAAGGCGTTCATCTCATATTATGCTGTAATTTTACTTTGAGTGATTGAACGACATCAAGTTGTCAAGTGGTATAAGTGGACTGACAGAACGACAAATAAATAATCTTTGAAATAGGTTTTTTTGAATTACATTTATAAATATCATCGTTAATATAAAATTGAATAGATACAGCATTACCTTTAAAAATAATGGCTAAAAGATCCGCTTCGGTTGCTTTCAACACCGAAGAACCAACTCACACAGTAAGGGATGGAAAAAAACACTCATTAGACTCTGATGAAGAAGACAGTGGAGCTGAAGAAGAAAGGAAAAATGTGCTTAATGCTGATGATATCGAAGGAGAAGAAGAAGGAGTAGCGGGATTGGAAGGTGAAGTGAGTACATTGTAGTCAACATATCATCTTTTATAAATGTCTTTAACTGACCCATAATGGCGATACTTAGCATTTAATTTGTATGAGATATCTAAACTTCGCCACAGTAAGGTGTGGCAGTAAGCTATTGCTAGATTCTGTTTTGGGTTTATTGTTTGTAAAACACAATATACATAACCTTCATTCCAGATCACCATAACCCCATTCAACATGAAAGAAGAACTTGAAGAAGGACACTTTGATACTGCAGGACACTATCATTGGAAGAAAGAGAAAGAGGTTCGGGATGGCTGGCTTGATAACATTGATTGGGTAAAGGTTAAAGGTCGACCTGAAGACAAATACAAAGTTCACAAAGATGGTGATAATCTTTATGATGATTCAGACAGTGATGATGGTGAAGTTGAAGAAAAATTTGATATAATTAATAATTATAAAGAAATCCAACAACATATGAAGCCAAAAGAAACAATTGCAAAAACAATACAGCGACTTGGTAAGTATTTAACTTATCTTGCAATTAAACTTGTTCAGTACTAACAACATTTCATTCAAACCCAACGGTTTTAATAGTGTTTGGTACAAACAATATAAGTTGCAAGAATAAGCTGGCTCAACAGATACAATATCACAACCTCATACTATACATAGACTGTATTATAATGAACTGAATCTCTCATTAATTGTGGTTGCTTCTATTGTTTTATTTTTTATAATATATTAAAATTTTAGGTGCAAGTTCAAAAATATCAAGCGCTGAGCGCTGGAAACGAAAAAAGGCAGGCATTGTTGATGAAGGTAGCCAAACAGTGACTAGAATAACTGAACTAGCTAATCAAATATTAACCAAAACTGGCAATATGGACATTTATCAGGAATCTTTTGAGAAAATCAGCTCTATTATCAACAAAGATAGTAAGAAAAAAGATAATTCAGAATTAGATATGTATGCTGATGATTTCGATCAGAAAGAGAAAGAGAGTATGAACAACAAAAGTGCACCACCTGAAAATGAGGACAGTGATGGACCAGAAGAAGTTAAATGGGAGTTTAAATGGAAACAAGACGATGATGCAGAGATATCAGGACCTCATTCTACAGAACAGATGCAAAAGTGGTCCACAGAGGGTTATTTCAAAACTGGTGTATGGGTTCGGAGACATGGAAAAGATAGTCAATTTTATAATTCCAATAGAATGGATTTTGAGCTTTATATGTAATTGTTGTTGTCATGAAATATTAATTTTAAGGAAAATATACATATTATGTATGAAGTAACATTTTTTCATATTTAATTTTTTAGATTTAAAAAACTGTGAATTTTTTTTATGATGACATGATTACACTCAAATAAAAGCTACAAAAGATTAAAACGCCAATGTTTGTAGACGAAATGTATTTATTTAAAATATTTAATTTTCATTATTCAAAACATAATATATTTAATATAAAAAGTACGGGAAGAACACAACATCGATCACAGATGAAATAAAATTAAACATTGTACACCAAATTCTCAATTATAATTTGGCACATAAAAATAGTAACAAAGTCAATTTCAACATGATGTGCAAATACTATATCAAACATTAGTTGAAAAGATTTTAATAAAAGGCATAAAAATAATAGTATCTATTGTAATTAGATCGTCTTTAAGTCTAAAAAGAGAAGAAATAATGCATTTACGCAGTCTTTATTTCAAATAGCGAGAGCGATAAATAGTTAATAAGTAAATACATAAAAATATCATTAATATTTCTATAACATTTATATAGTATTTATTTTAATATTAATATCATATAATTAATATAATTTAGATTCAAAATACACAATTTACTTCTGGTTTAATCACTAAGAATGAACAACATTTTGATAAACTCTACCCTATTTAGAGGCGGGTTAGGTATTACGTACGTTCTCAGCGCCTTTACGACGAGAAAAAAACATTTTCTGAACGCAGTCCCTTCGGACGGCAAAAGGAAAATTCTCTTATCCAAGGTTATTCACTTTTATCTGCCTACAGCTTCTTAGGGATAATCCGCCTCTGTCCCGATTATTAAAAATCATTCTACACTGCTACTGAGCTAGTGATGTGAAAATAAATTTTTGGTCATTTTTAGGGTTCCGTACCTCAAAACTAAAAAACGAAACGCTTATAGGATCACTTTGTTTTCCGTCCGTCAATCTGTATTTCTTCTGTTTTCTTTTTCTACTTACTTACTTTTGACATACATATAGTGTGAATAACAAAGCAGACATTAAAACTAGAACTGGTTTATCTACTTCACAATTTTATTGACTTACTTTAATTTTTTTGTATAATTTTACATTTAGAGCAAATAGCAATATCTTTTCTACTAAAATTGTGATTCATTTATATTATTTGTATTGAAGGTAAAATGCTTTGACTACGACGTCTACTTTAAAATCAGTAATATAATACTAATATGCAACAGTGACTACTTAACTATTATTTATTATATTTTATGTACTTAATGACTAGAAGGAATGTGGTATCTTGATCTGATAATATTGAATATTAAACATCGTTCATCTTGTATATTTCGCAAGCGTTTTTATGTGCATTCATTTAATACTGATGGTTTAACTTTAAATAAATTTTCATAGTTCAATTTGTTATTTTAGTGAATGATAATGATAAATCGACCAAATTCTATAAAAATATTATAATTTTTTACAATTTTTTCAAATAAAATGGCCTTTGGCCATAAATATAGTAGAATACCTGTAATTCTTAGTATGAATAAACTTGTAAAACGCATAAATACGATAACAGTACAAATAAATCAGTCATAAAATGGCGCCAGTCGTGAATCATTATTATTATAATGATTCTCGTAATATTAAAAAATAAATAAATTAACCATTACATAACTTACAAAGAAAAAACATTTAAGCATTCTTCTTTCTGCTTCTAAATATTTTAAAAGCAAAGCTGTAGAAATCCTCCTCCGTCCATATTTTAGAGAATATATTAATAGCAACAATAAAAACTGTTATAATTTGTACAATAACGAATTGTGATATGGAAGTGCCTATTTCCAACCAGCTGCCTGTGTTCTTAACGTAGTAAAGTAATTGGACACCCATTATGTTGGAGTAAATCAACACAATTGTAACCAAATACTCGGAGGTCGCCTGAAATAACAAAAAGATTGACAAACTCGCAAAACTCCACTCAGAACACTCCTGCAACCATGAATACCCAGTAATTTCTAATACCAAAATCTTAGAGTATATTATATGATCATCATTGTCATTATCTTTGACAAAACAAAGGTAAAGATATGTTTTAAAGGGGAATTTTGGTCTCAGAAACCCACGGTAAATCGACGATTAAAAAACCTTGACTAAATCAACAGTTTATTTTGTCAGAGAACTATCAAGAGCTACGTGGCCGGAGATGTAGTACTTTCGGCCATTTTTACATAGTGCTTATCATGACATTGTATATTTAGTTAAAATCCAAAGCATACATTTTGTATGCAAGCATGCATATTTCAACATCAAATACCACTTAGTTCGTAAGACACAAAATTTGACTTTGCTCTTTTTACATAACTTTGTCCAATTGTAAATTGTAATGAGATATTCGAACTTAAGTTTTACTACAAATTATATTTGCACATACCTTTGTAATATGCTGAACCGCTTTGAATGTGCATCCAACGCACAAGAAAGGCATCAATGTCTTCAAGAACACAAGACCTGTGATGATAAACGGCTGATACGAAGTCGTAAAACATATCACCCAGCGTATTTCAAATGAATTCAAAGAAGCGATGTTTCCAGTACCGAAGAACGCAAGGAAAATGTACATTGTCTGATTTTGGGTTCAGAAAATTTTACTTATAAAAATGCGAGTATATGGATAGATGTTTGTTAAAAGATATCTCCAGAATAGCTGCATGGATCTCAGTGAAATTTGATACAACACATAGGCTACCATCTACTATTAAAGTTTTTTTAATGCCAAACGGACGGAGTCGCGGGCGATGGCTAGTATATTGTTAAATACATAAAGTTGATAATAAATTAGTCCAACACTTTTACGTTTTTGTAAAGGATACAAAGAAAAATGCTCTTCGGAAATCATTGCTGGTGAGAGTTCGATAAGCTGGCGATATAGTGGTCTCCAATTCATCGCTTTCTTTTGAAAATGTATAATCGGTTAACTGAAAACAAAAATCTTTATAAGTTCTAAGAAACTGTTTATGAAAACAAAGGGCGGACTAAAGTAATTTCCAATATATAAAAAAAATCTAAGCATTAGTTTATGTACCTTAACATTATTCAAATTGAGGAATTTGAATTCGATGATCATCCAACAAGTGATATTAAATATCAAAACAACAATAAAGAGAGCTTCGTGTGCGACAGATAGGAGCAGGTAGATGTTGACGACCGATGTGTTGACGCCCAGCAGACGACTGCTCATTCGACGAGTATGTCCAAACGGCAGGAGCAACATAGCCACTGGGAACAATATTATTACTTTTATCGAATTCTAATCCAAGCCCTTACTATAAACAACCAGCACTTAATACTAAAACTCGAAAATTAAAAAAAAACGGTAAAACCGTTTTCCTTCCATCTTACTAATTCTTACTTAATATCATATATGCAAAAGTATAGGTGGATGGATTCAAGAACTAACTGAATGGATCTCTATGAAATTTGGCATAGATTAAAAATATAGTCGGAAAGAACTATAATATTATAATTAAGTTTTTTTTAATCGTGCGTGTCGCAGGCGACAGTTGTAACTGATAAAAACGTTCTAGATGTGAAAATTATATTGTTCTTTTTTACGTTCAATAAATTAAAAAAAAAATTCAATCTAAAATATTTAAATATATTACCTAATATAATCCAACATACAGTTTGAAGATAGCCCAAAAGTGCAAATCTGTGTTGATATCGTCTGCCTTGTATTAAAATGATATAAAGAGATAGGCCCATTATGATTGTCTGGGTTGTAGTTATTATAATATCCCTTCTATTTGTCCGACTGTCCTTCCAAAGAAATGTAAACAACAACATTGCCAACATCCATAATAATCCAGCTATCAAACTGCAAAAAATAACAAAGTAATTCAAAATTCATAATTAGTATGCTCTTTATAAGGCTAATATTCACTTATATGTTATTTAAATTTTAATAATCTGGCTTAGTTACAATATGTGTGAAATAATAAGAACACAATTATTACTACATAGTAACAAAAGAAAAAATACACACAGCAAAGATTTATAAGAAAAAACTAAAGAAAAGTGTTGCAAAAGGAGCCAGCTTAGCGTATGAAGGGACAACCTAAACAGTCCCTATGCAGATTTTCATTTGGCTCCTTTGCTTCCACTATAAATATGAAACGGATAAATCAAACCTTACTAACTGTTAATAATTAGATTATTCGTATATACTTACACCAATTCAATGGAAACCGCACGTCCCACAACTGGCATGAATGAAAACATGCTTAGCAACATGCATCCGAACATCCAACAAGCATGTAACGGCTTAGATACTAGATTACGTGATGAAGAAAAACATGGCCAAAAGCCCATACCAATTAGTGGAATGCTCAACATCCATCTGTGGGTAAGTGATAAGCCCTAAAAATTAAATAAATATTAGCTATAAATAAATAAATATTAAAAATAATAAATTATGTTATTTACCATCGCCAAACATCCAAGCGCATAACAACAAATTTCAATTATTGTATCCAAAACACCTCTGTACATACGAATAAGTGTAAGCGTATAGACCCAAAGATTTAAACACTTCAAAGCATTTGTCCATAGAGTGATCGGCGTTAGGAAAAATAAATAATATAGATATGGTAAGTTTTGCACTGAAACATTAATATTATATTATGAACAACAATTAAACAATATTGTCAATAAATAGAAGTCCTTACGTACCATAAATGAGACTTATAGTCACAATGTATAATACTGCTGTAACACATTTAGTGAAAAATTTTAATTTATTAGTTTCCTTAGACTTGACACACTTCAGTTTATAAATTTCCATCATAGCACAAACATTGTCCGTCAATAATATATTGAGCAAGCAAACTATCCAGCCGAGGAAAGACAATGTAATTGCAATCAATAAAGGTTTCTGGTAATAGTTGTGATAATAATTTAGACCAGATAAACTCAAATTCATGACTTCCTCACTGAATAAAATTAATTCTTCATATTGATGTTCATTTAGTAATTTTTCTGAGAATGTTGTAATTTCCTCAATTTTCTCCGAGTTCAATGGTTTGTATGGTTTGTACAATGCGTTTATAACATGATCTTCAACATCTTGTTTCTTTTTAATATACTGAGACAAAAGCTGCCTGCTGTTGCTGTACATTGCTTTGGCTCTATTCGGCAATGACATGTTTAGAAGATCAACTGGAAGTTTACCCTAAAACAAATAAATATATTAGTTTAATAAAAATACATAAATTAAATTATTAAATATTTAAACAAATGAACTAAAGTTAAGTTTACTAAAAATATGATTAATGTTATCAAATTTGGTCTTTACATTTGTCCTTTGCCTATCTAAAAAGTTCAACTTTTAAAATACTTACAACAGAATTAACTGGAACTGGAATTGATAGAAAAGTAGACATCAATGGAGCTAAATCTGCTTGTTCTATGTCATATCTATGTTCCGAGGACATGTTTTTAGTTTGCCTTTCATTAGTCAAATGTTTAACTTGTTGCACACCTGCTCCCCACAACACATATGGTGTTTGAGTCTCATGGTCATCTCCAGTACCATGGGAACCTAGTAAACAATATCAATTGTTATATTATTAATAAATAATAATCAAAATAGTAGAAATTCACATTACCAATGTTTAAATGATACTTTTATTATTACATAAAAAATATGCACTTTTACAACATGAAAACAAAATATTTTTCATTTGGCCAAATATAATGAAATTAATTTAAAAAATATATGTAAAACCTTGAAATGCTCACCCCAATTTGTCATTCCATGGTCAGAAGTCATTAGAAAGGTACTTTTACCATCATTTTTGTAAAATTTCCTGATCATTTCTTCTATGTCTTTAATATTCTCGTCTACATGCTCTACTGTGCGATAGAAATTTCTATATGGAATAAAAACAAAATAATCAATATAACATTAAATTCTTTTAAATTCCCACATTTTTTATATTGTTCTATTTTACTAAGGGTTATTTCAATGTATAATATAAAAAAACTATTTTAAGATATCTCCAACAACAAGCTCAATAATTCCTAAAAAGAAAAGCAATACAAGACATATTTCCTATACATTCCAATGAAAGTGTTTGAAATCAGGTAAGTTTATAGATAATAAAGTAAGGTAATAAGTTTTGATCGGAAGATGTAAAATCAAGGTAATCTGTTAACTATACTTAAAAATGTTGATCTCTTACTGTGATCTCGGTTTATCAGTATGACCGGAGGTGTCAGTGCCTAATAAATGCAAAAACAATACTATTTTATCAGTATGTAGTTTCTTCTTCATGGCTGCATCATTCTCTGCAGTATCAAAAAAGTCTCGAACATGTCGGAATACCCACTCATCCAGCAACATGGTACTTTTATCTGCACTAAATGTCTTATCATATGGATCAAATTTGGTGACATAAATGTGTCCATCAACAGTTCCTTTAGTAAAGATATCAACTATATCATAAGCTCCCCAAGACCATGTATATCTTGTTCTGTTGAATACTGAATCAAAATCAACAGGATTATCCTTCCACCCTTGGGTAACAGCTGAGGGGTCTTCATAGAAACCAGCAATGATAGCAACATGTCCAGGCCGGGATTCTGTTGGAACTCGAGTGTGAGATATTCCCCATCTTCCCTCTGAGTTAGCAATGGACCTATGAGTTTAATATATAATTTATATGTATCTTTAAGAGATTAGCAGAATATTGTAACTCATTAACTCAGTTATAAACATATGTTTTACTTACCTAAGATAAGGCATAGTTGTGTGATTTACAAAGGACTCAGCACGTAGACCATCCACCACAAAAAGCACAAGTCGATCCGATGTTGGCTCATGGATTGGTTCAAAAGGTAAAACATCTTTGACAACCGGAGATTTAAAGTATATATCAAAGATGGAAATTAGAAATGTGACATGTATAAAGATACCATAATCAATCATCGATAAATTTGGTAGATTCATATTTGTGAATGCGTAAATTTAGAAATTAATATTTAAAACTCATTCAATTCAATTTCAACACTTAATCAAATTGGGCATGGATATTGACCATTATTTGTAATTAACTTCTACTAAACCGAACTATAAAGAATAACTCTACGATTTCACTATTTTATTTTAAAAGTCTACTATGATATCCTAATTCCAGGTAAGACTACCAATGTTTATTGATTAGGTTTACAATGCGCCCTATATCCACAGGTGTCAGCGCGCAGAAGCGCAGCAGCGCAGTAACTTAACTTGCTAGTATTGATATTTAAGTTATTGATTTATAATGTTTGTATGTATATATCTATTTTTAGTTGCAATCCTCATCAAAGCCCTTATATTTCACTAATTTGGAACATAGACAAACTGCACATTTTAGAGTAAAACTCTTAAATTACAAAATATTTTGCGGTAAAACTTTTTTCTCATTTAACTATGTAACACTCAGCTATTTATTTTATAAAGTATCACATCATTTTATCTTACAATTTCTGCACAATAACTAAAATATTGAAAGATCGTAATGGCCGCATGTATTCAATTGACCAAAAATGACATTCATCTGTTTACTTCCATGACAGTTATAGCCGTTATAATCTGTTTATTTATGTATAGTCTGTATACAACCAAAGTCAAAGAATAATGTGCGTAAAAAGGAAATATTTTAAAACGCTAATATGTTATATATAATATATACCACGATCTTAACAGTTAATAAAACTTTTACTTGCAATAAACATTTCATGTATTAAAATTCGTAAACTAAAGACAGCTTTATTTACATTCAAGTTTAACCCATAATTCGACGAAATTTTTTGTAGCAAAAAAGCTGTTTTTTTTAGTCATACTTACGTAATTTTTTCTAAGCTAGTTCAGTAGATTTTTTTTAATTAGTTGTCCGTCACACTGGACACATCGAATTAAGGGTTAAAGTTACAAAGGATTTAAACAAATCCATCAATGACTCAATAAATATAGAACAAATTACTACATAACAAAATGTTTTTGCACCGTCCACATAAAAGTTAATTTTAAAAATTCATTATTCATCCATTCCAGCCGATATCAAATCAAATAACTCATTTTCTTGTGCTTCAGTAACTTTTTTAAGTACTGTTTCACACGACATACTTTCATTAAACTCATCTTTAATTGCAAGTCCCAGAGTAGCGTAAAGGCGACGAATTTGGCCAGCCGTTAACCACCCTCGCTGTCCTGGATCAAAACTTTTAATTACCGCTTCAAGATGTCTGCAAACAATACAAAAAATTGTAAACGGGTACAGATTTATCCGTGCTGTGTACTACTGTACCCCTTACTGTAATATATTGTTTGCCACTATATAATGTGTAACAAAACTTAACATTTTTTTCCTGATTGACAATTTTACCCTGCATGGTCACTGGCAACTAAAAGTCGATCATTTGTATACGTCGATCATTTGTATTTTATATACTTGAGGGCGTCTTAATATGAAATTACTTGTATAAAATGAAAATTTACCACAACTTACCTATTTTCGTATAAAACAGGTGCGGTTCCGACACCCACACGAAACAGCATACAATCATCAAGAAGCTTTTCTAAATACAGGAGTGGCTTATCAGATTCTTGTGCTAATATTTTCGATATTAAAAATCTTATAAGTTGTGGGATTTTGCGTTCTCGTAAATAATTTTCAGTTTCAGAAACAATACCTAAAATACGTTTCTTATGAGCGGAGATCGCTACCCTTTCGGAAGAAACTTCTGGGCAAACACATTTACAAACATAAATAACTCCTGGTTCATATTCTTCTTCCATTTCGTTTTATACTTTCGTTTACAGATCTAGATTCTGGATCAAATATCCTTTGTTTAGAATACAAAGCATAAAGTACTGTGTGATCTTATAATTCACGCAGATTGGTGTATTATTCAACAAAAAAACAAAACTCTTGTCACCCTTGTCATGTTGTTTTTTCTTATTGTAAGTAAAAAGGTTTACCGTTAAATTAATATAAGGTGCACTGTAGATGTTGTTTAACTGGTTATCTTATTAATTACAAGCAGATGACTTATACTGTAGTTGTCCTAGCAGTTAATTTAGAAAATTCTGTTTCGTGACAAATCGTTTACCAAAATAAAATTGCATTAGTACAATATTAGTTTGAAACCTCACCACCGCTACCAACCGCTGCCGTGAAAAATCTTGTCTATTGTCTTACCAACACTACAACATTATGCTTTGACATTAACGGTTAACATAGTTTCAAATATTTTGCTTTTGCTTTAAGTAAGTTTCATCGCACTAAGTCTTACTTTAATATCTCGTATACTATAATGAGTGACATCATGATAATTAATTGTTCATAAATTTACGGAAATAAGAATAATCATGGGAAACGACATCGAAGAAACGTTTATTGGAAAAATTGACGACTGTAAGTAAAAAGTTATACGACTTTGTTTAATTATTATAACGATGACGTTACTTTTAAATTCTGATAAAAAATATGATTCAGAATATATTAAAGAATGAATACTTCAGTTGTTTGATATTTTGGTTTTAGGCGACAGAGATGTTCGCAAAACCGGACAGGAAATGGATGTAATAAGAGAAAGGACTGTAGCTTACGAATATCTTTGTCGACTTGAAGAAGCTAAAACTTGGATGGAGGCATGTTTGAAAGAAAAACTTCCCCATCCCGTGGAGTTTGAGGAATGTCTTCGTAATGGAGTGTATTTGGCTAAATTAGGAAATTTCATAGCGCCTGAATTATTACCGTTAAAAAAAATCTATGACATTGATCAAAGGCGATATAAGGTAATAAAACTTTTTATGACAAAAACTAGATATGAAAATAAAAACATTTACTTTCATACAAATATTACTGTGTCAGCTGTAGTCAATGGGATCAAAGCAAGATTGTACTCTAATACTGCATGCTATTGGTACATATGATATATATATATAAATTTTAGTAGATAGCAATAGTTTTTTTATTCTTTGAAAGATTTTTTTCTTTTTTAATTTTCAAGCTGTGACCAAAGTATGATATGAGATAGGAGAGATATCTGCCATTGTTTATTTATGTGAATTATAAAAACAAATTAAGCTGTTAACTTATTAAGATGATTAGTATTCATCATTAAGTAATGAAAATTATGGGAAAAATCAATAAACATGTTAGATGCTACAAAACTTATGTCTTAACAAATACTTTGTGGTCTGTTATGATATTCATAGAGCCTACTGACCTAAGATGTTCCAAAATATTTATGATTCCAGTTAACTTTCCTTGTATCTATCTAAAAGACACAGTAAATATCTTAAACAAAACAACTTACATATTGCACAGTTATATGAATTTTGAACAAACACTTTATAATAATAATTCTATTGTGTACCTGCATTAGCAAGATTCAAAGGAAATATTTTTCTTGTTTATAGATGTTTCTCCAACCCACATCTTTCACTTATCCACATATTTGATATTTGGCTGTATTTGTTCTGTATTATTGTCAATTTATTTGATACTAATTTTGAATGTTTTTATTTTTTACTTTATCCCAAAATAAGAAGAATATGGTAACATAGATATGAGCTTATAATTATTTGATCAGAGCCATTTTATATGACTGAATTTTATAAAAGATCATAAAAACTGATTAAATATCCAATGATTTTTTTCTTTTGTCTAGATAATGGGTTTACAATTTAAACACACTGATAATATAAATAAGTTTTTACAAGTACTAAAGAGGACAGAGTTGCCTGTGGTAAGTAAATTTTATTAAGTCTTTGTCCGTCACAAGAAATTATATATACTTACATATTGTTTATGTCTATCATATTGCATTGTAGACTTTCCAGCCAGAGACCACAGATATTTATGACAAGAAGAACATTCCAAGAGTTATATATTGTATACATGCTCTTAGTTCACATTTATTCAAGCTTGGAAAGGCTCCACTTATTCATGATGTTTTTGGAAAAGCAGTATTCACAGGTTAGTATTAATTTACAATATTAGAAGATTATTTCAATATTTGGGTTAAATTTTCAAAGTAAGCATTGGTTCTGAGCTAGGATTTGGTGCAGGAAAAGTCTGATAGCGAGAATCGAACCCTAGGCCTCGTGGTCAAATATCCATTACCGCTTTTGTTACTTCGACGTTTATATGGATCATATTTATGGGGCCGGCTTTAAGATAGGGCGCGGTAAGGCGATAGCCCGGCACGCTGGATAGAAAGGGGCACCACAGGTCTGCAAATAACACAGCCTTACAAAACCTTGTTAACCTCTCCTCTGTTAACCCAGTAAAAAAGCGGGACCCATTGAAATCTCGCCCAGGGATCTAGTAGAGCAGTAACTGTATGTTAATGTAGAATTTTAGTTTTGAAATATGAAATTTCATTTCAGATGAACAATTGGATTCAGTATCGAAAGATTTACAAAATTGTAAACATCCTCTGCCTATGTTCCAAAAAATTGGTGGCATCCTTTCAAGAAATAATGTGGATAACAATACAATTTTAAATGAAGCTATTGTTGAATTGAATAATTTATTAGACACTGAAAAACCTATCACCACAGCCATATTAAATCCAAGTTTAAAGCTAAAGTATATACAAAATCAACTTATAGAAGTATATAAAGAAGTTTTGAAGAATGCAAAACAAGACAAAATCCAAGTGGCACTCAATCATTCCCTAAACGAAAGTTATGTACCAGATGATTTTGACGAAATGTTAACTGTTGTTGAAATTCAAGGTCATATAACTGCAACGAATTTTAGATATTTATGGAAAAAATTATGCACAGCATCTCAGCATAATGATATAAATAGTTTGCACAAAATATTTAATGAGGAATGGGTTAAAATTAATAATTACGAATACGGCAATTTAGATTTTTACTGTGATGTCGTTAAGGAAATTATCGATGGTAATAAAGACATAGATGTCGAAAGTGTGACAAATTGGCACAAGATATTTCAAAATATTATCAATGAAGGGAACAGAAAAGCATTTGAACATAAGGATCATAAATCGGCGATTGGTGTCGTTAATAAATCATTAGACGAAGGTAACCCGAATGATCTTTATGCTGCATTAAAAAATCCAAATTTAGGATTAAATATAAATATTGATAAGTTTGCAATGCCACTGTTATTCGAAGAGATGAGATTAGAGAAATGTGAATTGGAAAGGAATCTAAATGAGAACGAAATAGCAGCTTCTGTGGCTTATTTATCATCAATCGCGTACATTTCTCGTGCTGTTGAAATGGGAGATGAAACAGCAGTTTGGAATTCTCTTAATTCTAATCAGATAAATTTAGAAAACTTAAGGCCGCACTGTCGACGCAGATACTTCGCAGCTCTGGTGACTGCGTTACAAGTTAAATGTAAAGAAGAGTTTCAATGTCCATTACTGACACTTGACGATATTCGTGATGCGATAGAAATGGTTAATATTAAGGATGACGATAATGAAGAATGTAAGTATAAAATATATACATATAAATAAAAATGGAGTGTCTGCATGTAATATGGAATAAAAACTTATTTCGTACACCTGATGTATTTGCATTGCTGATAACGAAAACCAATTTTTTTTTTAATTTTTGTCTGTCTCTGTCTGTCTGTCCGTAAAGCCGCGTTTGTTCTAGGTAAACTCCAGAACTTGAAGGTAGCTGATACACGCAAGCATATTATAGGATACTTTTTTTATTCCGCACTGACAAAGTCGCGGTTTATCGCTAGTTTAGAATAAATCTGCACTAAATTTTAATCTTCTTATTTTTTTTTACTTTTTTAAAACAATTCCTTTAAATAAGTTTTCTTATTTCATTCTAGTGGTTGTTTTAATAGATAGTATCAATAAAACTGTATCAACAGAAGATACGACGACGCTAATAACATTATTAAAGAATCCTGTATTAAAATTGCCTGTGACTCTACATAAAGAAGAATATCATCTTTGTATGAGAACATTGAAAAAGATTTTCCATCAAAAGGAATCACAAAATCTATGGTACGATGATATTCTGAATGCAGTTAATGAAGTTCACACTGAATCTATAAAAGCAAAAGAACTAACTGAAGCATTGGTACAAATAAATATGGCTGTTATTAAAAATAATGTTGACGAATTTTGGAATATTTTAACATCACCCATACTTTCTGTATCAGAAATAATTGAAGAAGAATGTATAGAAATATACTTCCATATGTTTACTAAAGCTCTTTGGAAACGACGACATTATATTTGTCCTTGGATTGTTTGTCATACTGAAGCAGGAAATACTTTGTACATTGATATCGAATCTTATAACTATAGTTGGATAACTCCAAAAGATTTTGTTCCACACCACAGATATTTAACAAAGAAAGATGTCAGTGTGATTGTTGAGAAAACGAACAAACAAGAATTCAATTCACAAACAGAAGGATTGTCGGAGAAAAAATTGACAAAGTTTCAAGCCCATTGTAGGGGATACTTAGTGAGACAGGCGACGATAAGGGAGAAGTTGTATAGGGAAAATGAGGATTTGATAATTAAAATTCAGGCATGGTGGCGGAAAATATTAGCTAAGAAAAAATATGGAACTTTAATCAAAATGAAAACGATAGAAGCAAAATTGAGACAAGAAAAGAAACGTAATCCTTGGGCGTGGTATAAAGCGCAGGAGCATAAAATTATCAAAATACAAGCTCTATGGCGAGGTCGTCGCGCTCGTCAAGCCTTTGTTTCACTCTTCCATTCACCAAACCCACCGCTAAAAGTTGTTAAAAAGTTCATTCCGATATTAGATTTTGCCACAGAGGATTACGACAGAGAAATAGAATTGCAAACGTTAAAATCTGAAGTTGTTCAATCGATAAGAAAGAATCAGGAACTTTCCAAACAGATAGACGATATGGATCTTAAAATTGGGTTGCTCGTACAAAATCGTATCGCTCTACAAGAGGTCGCGGCGCACGGCTTGAAACTGAACAATTTGGTTAAAAATAATTCAACAACGAAACTAGTATTTCAAAATCGTGAAGGAAAAGGTTCCCTAATGACGATATCTACGGCTGTGAAAGGGTTAAAATCTCTTACTAAAGAGAGCAAGAGATTGTTAGATGGATATCAACATCTATTTTACGAGCTTCAAACGAATCCTACATATTTATCCAAACTATTATTCTGTATACCACAGAACAAAACTAATTTCTTCTTACAGAATGTTGTTTTGAGTCTTTATAATTTCGGTGCGTATGCAAGAGATGAATATTTATTGTTGAAACTGTTCCGATTTACTCTCGAAGAAGAGATAAGTTGCAAAGTTTCTAAGCCGTTTGATATAATAGCTTCCACACCTCTGGTTCTTAAAATGGCGGTGAGTCTTTCGCGCCAGTTGTCCGGCTTAAACAGCTTGCAGAGTATAATCGGCCCTCTGGTCGAGATGATGTTGAAGGACAAAGATATGAACATTGAAACCGGTCCTGTGGAAATTTACAAGGCCTGGAGAAATGAAACTGAAATGAAGACGGGGCAAATTTCGTAAGTATTCAGCACACAACAGCTTAACTAAAATTATACATAGTTTTCCTGTCGCGTTTTCATCAAATATTACTCGTAAAACTATTCTAATATATTAATTTACGGCTATTGAAAGCTGAAAACTGATGAGTGCTTTTCTGTCTCTTTTGTACCCATTATTTAGGGTTCCTATGAGTTTTGTTAATTAACACCGAATTTCGACCCAAATTAACTCGTCTCTTATAAATTTATATTTTTAGGAAATTACCATATACAGTAAGTCAAGAAGAAGCCTTAAAATATCCAGAAGTGAAATCGAGACTACAAGTGGCGTTGAATCAGCTGAGAACCGTCGTAACCATGTTTTTGGATAAAATTATAAGTTCAACGGAACTTTTGCCATTCTGCATCACTTATATGTCGCGGGTTTTACATCGCTCGTTGACCTCCAAGTTTCCACATACACCAGAAAAAGACATTCTCAAGGTAATTATGCTAAGTTGAAAACTTTTGTCAAGATAAATTTACTTATTTATCATGTGTTTCATAAAATTCTAGGACATATTTATTAGCGAAGAGGTTATGTTTCTTCTTAATCTGTACTTGTTATTTATTTATGTAAATTGTTTCAGGTGATTGGTAATCTAGTTTATTACCAGTTTTTGAACGCGGCGATAGTAGCTCCCGATGCGTTTCATATAATCAACATGCCCAACGGCGCGGGACTCACCACCGACCAGAGGAAAAACCTCGCCTCTGTTGCCAAAATACTACATTTCTCTGCAGCGAAGAAAGGCGTAAGTAACACTTATATGTATAATGCTTATAAATGATGAATTAAAACCTAATTCGTACTTCGTGAACGCAGCAATTGTCCTAGGGCGCAAAGTCAAGATGGTTCAAAACTAAAACGAGCACAATTTTCTATATTACACACTGTCCCCAATATTTTTTTTCTTGAGGTTGAAATACTTTGTAAGGCTCTATTAAATTTACATTGGTAATTTATATAATATTAATTCGCAGTTCGGCGAGGAGTCCAGCCACTTGCGCTGTCTTAACCCGTTCATAGTGGAGTGTCACGAGAAGATGAAGGAGCTGTTCCGTCGCTGCTGCCGCGGACCCACGCTCGAGGAGTACTTCGCAGTAGACGAGTACACGGAGGCCACTCTGCTGCATCATCCCCATATTTATATCACTGTTCAGGTACTATTTTGTACATAATTAAGCAGATGTAGGTATAAAGGTTGTCAAATATTTCGGCGGCTCGGAATATCGCAAGAAGTTAAGAGCCGCCAAAATATCTGACAACTACAGTACTACCCATTTAAATTGTTTCACCGTTTAAAGATTGATTAATATTTTCGTTGTAGGAAATAGTAGATACGCACGCTCTTCTCGTAGAATATCAAGACATATTAGCACCAGATCCGAACGATCGTCTTAACGATTTGCTCGAGGACCTTGGGGAAGTGCCCACGGTGGCACAGCTCGCTTCTCGAGATGTTGACTCTGTAAGTATGCTCAATGTTACACCCACAATTGTTGGCACTAAAAATTTATTTTGTCTACATTTAGTAAAGAAAATGTACTCTGAGAAATTACCAAAGTCACCATTAAATCTAAGTATATGATTTTTTCCAGCAAGGTGCAGACGTCGAGGAGAATGCCAGATTAGAAGTGTGTTTGGCGCTCGTCAATAAATTCCAAGCTCCTGCCGACGACATGACGGATCTTAATAAATTGTTTATCAAGACTAAAGAGTTATGCGTCGCTATAATTCCATTCCTCAATGGTACGAACTTTAAACTAGAATTTAAAAAAAAAAGAATATTTAAGATATCTAATATGTTTGTGTTCTTTTATAGGTGAACATCTCTTAGAAGCTCTTTGTATTGGAACGACTAGAGAACAACAAGAATTGTATAACGAAAAGGTACAAAAACGTATCTATTCAGGTCAAGCTCGGCCCGACGAAGCTATGTCTCTCCGCGAGCACATAGCGAAGTTACGACGCAATCTGCAAATGCTTGAAGAAGAGGGTTACGTGACCCGAGAGGATGGGTACCAGGCCTTAGTGACCTCTATAGCTTTGGACCTCTGCAACAAGGGCAAGTACAGGCAGGCGCAGAGGCGCGCTCTGACAACGCTCACACGAACCAAACAAAGTCTTATTGAAAAAACTAAATACTATGAAGATAAATGTAAATCATATGACCAGTATATCAAGTCTTGTTTGGCGAATCTCCATACCGGCAAAAAGTGAGTTTGTTATACTCTTTTGTGATATCCCCTTATAAGCAAAACAAATTGTTTGTGTTACCAGTTATCACAAATTTTAAAATTGTTTTTCTCCTAGGATTTAAATAACTAATAATGATGTGATAAGGAAGGAAAAGGAAGGAAGGAAAGAAGTTTTATAAGTTATGTTTAATAGCGGATTTGTGAAATATTATTCATTTTTATCTAGCATTACCTCTGACAATTTATATTTTACAGGAGTGTGCACGCGTGTCTAAGAAGATCCGGTAAGGATATTCAAAAGTTGAAGTCTAAGTTGACTGTAAAGTACACTGGTGCTAAGTTGTTAGAAAGAGGTGTCTTGCTCGAAATTGACGGCTTATCTAAGTCGCAGTTCAAAAATGTTCAATTTGACATCACGCCTACTGACCATTATGGTGTATTCACTGTTAAGGGGAAGTTTATGGGCGTAGAAATGGAATCTATAGATATAGACATACAAGATTTATTACAACGACAATATGAAGGCTGCGCCGTAATGGACTTGTTTGGTAAAGCTAAAATTAATGTTAATTTACTGATATTTTTATTAAACAGTAAGTTTTATGGTAAATCTAAGTCGTAGTTTTGTGATTTGGTATGGACCAGAATTCGACAAACCTTTTATATGTACAAATTCATATACCAAAATAAAAATTTCATTTCATGAAGTATTCCTAACCAAATATTTATTTATATTTACACCAATTATTTGTTACTTATACCATTTATAAGTTAAATTGTTTATTATGTAATTTTTCTTCTCTCTGTCTATCTTATATTAAGTTGTGATTGATTGTGATTACCTTGTAATGGATTTATAAAATTATTTCATAATGTACTTTTAAAATAATAATTTTCATAATGAAATTGTAGTAATAAGCATTTTATTTGTTACTTTATTCTCATGTTTTGTGGCATTACTTTTTTATTAATATTCGCCGTTGTGGTAATTTTATTATTAATGTACTTATAAGATATTAAATAAGTATTTGATGATTAATTATGTGTAACATAATTTTAAAAATAAATGAGGCTGACAAAAACCATTTTTATTTATCCTGGCACCGTTTGGCAACTAATTTTTTTGGCTCAAGTGGACAAGAAACCAGAACCGTGATTTATTTTTCATAAAAAAGTAGTGTTTGACATGTTTACATCATAGAACATAGGTTAGATTTTTGGTAACTGATAGACTTCTTTAGATAAAAAAAAACGATAACAAGTCATGATAACTAGAATTAAATGCGTTGCTCTAAATAATACTGTGAATTTATAACAATGATAATGCGTAGAGTAACACAGAAATTTTTAATACTCATTTTCGGTTTACTGTTTACATATTTTTATTGTGAATATCTTATTTATTATGTAGTGGTAGCACAGGTAAGTTGTATTTGTTATCGCTATAAATAATAATATTGTTTGAAATTTTAATTCATCCAAGATCATTTTTTTAGTGTTCTTGGCCAACAACAGAGAGGTTAATTGAGGGTCAATATTTAAAATCTTTTATACTTGCCGACACACATTTGTTGGGCCCTTATAGGGGTCATTGGCTGGATAAATGGAGGCGCGAATTTCAGATGCAACAAGCCTTCCAAGCAGTTATAACTTTACATAAACCCGATGTAGTGTTTGTTTTAGGTTAGTATTTACACATATTTCACTTACCTTATTTAGTACTATTTTAAAATAAAAACGCAACCTTACTCTGTATTATCAATTTTAAAATATCAGCAATTCAGTGCTGTGTTGTCTAATAACTTAAAAATAAATAATTCACCTAGTTTTTAGTGTGATAATTAATAGTTAGAAATTAAATGATTTTTCATGTTTAGGGGATCTGTTTGATGAAGGCGAATGGACCAATGAGAAACAATTTCAAGACTATGTGGACCGTTTTCATAAATTATTCAAGTTACCTAATGATATAAAGATGCATGTGGTGGCCGGCAACCATGATATAGGATTCCATCATAAGTATGGACTGTTTATGATGGTAAAAAGGCTCATTCTGAATAAAATGTTAACCTCCCTAATTTCATTTAGAATTATAATTTCACTTCATATTTTTCTATTTATGCTACTTTGCCTTTGAGTTAAAATGCTTCGTCTCACATTATTTTGTGCAATTTACAAAATATTTTATGATTCATAATTAGAATGCAGTATTAAATTTACATTAATAATATTAAGCTATATATTTGTATATATGTTTTAGCCTTAGAAGATTCTCAACCAAGAGATTTGTTGACAAGTTCCAAGCACCGTCAGTCCAACATTTAGTATTGAAAAGCAGTCACTTCATACTTATTAACTCAATGGCCCTGCATGGTGACTCATGTGAACTATGTCTAGATGCTAGACATTCTATTAATAGGATTTCTGGTAAAAATAAATAATTTTCAGTATTATTGATGTTAGTTCAGCTTCATCATCAGCTCACTATATGTCCCCACCGAGGGGCTCGGAGCCTAACCTAAGTTAGGGGTGATTAGGCCATAGTCAACCACGCTGGCAAAGTGCGGGTTGGTTGACTTCACACATATCTTTGAATTTCCTCTTGGATATGTGCAGGTTGCATCATGATGTTTTCCTAGACCGTAAGAACGTCGGATCAATGTACATGTGTAAATCGAAAAAACACATTGGTACATGGCGGGATTCGAACCCAGGACATGCAGATTACAAGTCAAGTGCTGAAACCACTGAGCCACCGACGTCTAAGTTCAGCATAAATTTATAATAATTACCACTATTATTTGTTTCAGATGCAATGAATTGTGCAGAAAATGTTGAGAAATGTAACACTGAACAAGTTAATTTCAATTATTCTCGTCCTATTATAATGCAGGTGAGTTTAAAGTGTTTCTTGTTGCATTATTTTAAAATATTAGTCAATATTACCAGGTGTCAAATGTTATTACAATAATATTAAATTGTAGCTTATTTTAGCTCTTTGTTTTTTTAGCATTTTCCACTATACCGTGTATCAGATGCTGCTTGTACTGAACCAGATGCACCACCTTTGCCGGAGAGGAATAAAAAATTTAGATTGAAAATAGATGCACTATCCAAAGAATCCACAACATTTTTAATTAAAAAGTTAAAGCCTCGAGCAGTATTTGGAGGGCATACACACCATGGCTGTAAATTACTTCACACTTATAAGGATTTAAAAATAGAGTTTTTAGAATACTCAGTGCCATCTTTTTCATGGAGAAATAGACTCGATCCAAAGTTTATGTTGGTATGTTAAATTTATAATGTGAAAAAAATATTCTTGTGTGCTTTCTACATGCCCTTTTATTAAGAAATGGCTTATTTATTCATATAAAAATTTATTTACAACATTAAATACCATTAACTTGCCCGATTCTCTTTTATACCAGAAAATAATAGTGATATTGAATATGTTAAACTGGGTTTTTCCCAATCAAATGGCCCAATGGGATACAGCCATTACATAGTATTATACATTAATCATTCAGATTACATATTTACAATATATTTCAGGTAACTATATCCCCAGAGACATATGCAGTCAACAAATGTGGCTTACCAAAGGAAGGAACAATAATACTTACTGCAATGATCATGATTTTTGCTTTAGTAATTTTTATAAGTACAAAGAGGACAATCGGGAGATGATTTCAATGAAAAGCAAGACTCCAATCTCATGATTATATTCCATAATAAATACTTTTGACAAGATCTGAGCATTTTGTACACTGTACATTTCATTGGAAACAATTGCTCACACAATACACAATGTTTTCTTTTATTTTAAATCAAACCATAATCTGAAGCAATCATTTAAAATAATACATGCTATGTCATAATAGTATGTCAGCTTACAGATTCACATCCTCAAGTGAAACATTGAAATCACTTAAGAAATTATCACAAACAGTACTTCACTTACATTTAAAAATTACTTAAAACTTAAAGATTTCCAAATAAATTATTAATGAACTAATAAAGTAAATTAGAGGTAGATAAAAAAACGTTTTTAGAGATTCGTACATTTCTAATACAAAAATACTGGTGTTGGTAATACAACAGCGAAAATAAAATACAAAATATTACCACCAGGTCACAATCGATGGGATTTTACGAGAAAACGAGATTCAACAGTTAAGTACATATCAAACTATTATAATACATATAGTAGGCTGTTTATAGCAAAGCACCTAACTCTTATATACTAAAAGTCAGTCTATATACTCTCAGAAGAGACATCTTCCTACATACATATATATTATATGAGCACATCTAAAGCTTTTACAAATATTGTGAATATTCTATGTAAAAAAGCCAGTCAAGAAAACCAATAGTTTTAAATGTCTGTTATGACAAAAGGGGATTCTCTTTGTCTGTTTACTGGTTCATACAAAATGCAGTATAAGGCACATTAAAAAAATAAGTACAAAAAAATTTAAATCTGACCATTTCAATTAATTACATCAGTAAATTGTAGGAAATGTTTAATACAGATTTTTTTCTACAGCTGTATTTTCAATATTAGTAATAGTAACATTCAGTTGTCTATTAATTCCTTTGCATTATCAAATAGGTATAGTAAATACTGATAGCAGCTGCATGTGTGATGTAACTCATTGATAGCTTAATATTTAGATTCATACATTCCATACATTCGTACAATTATAATTACACATCATTCAAACGGGCACTAACTTTCCGTTATCTTCTGTACATGTCTTGGTAACCACAGTTTACACACACACTTAAAGCGAAGAGGACAAAGTCGTGACTGACTGAGTCCAGTCTTGAGTTCTATAAGAATATTATTTGTAGGACTCTGGGTTGATGTAAATGTCCGGGGAGGTCATGTGACCGGGAACGCTTGTTCATATGGACTTTAGTCTTCGGTTGTACTTGTTTATGATGATAGCCTGTGTGTGCATGTTTTGCTGATGAACATATGACTGCGTGCAAGTAGCGGTCGTATCTGCACAGGTTGGAGTCTCCTGTGCCTGCTAAGTCTAAATACCCGTCGCCTGTATTGTCACATTTTATCTTCTGGAATGCATGTACCGGCTTCTCGCTGATGGTATGGGATCTGTTTCTATGTTTCTGGTATTTGGGCGTGATCTCCTCATCATTGCCAATTGGTTCACTGGGTTTTCTGTAAACAAGAAATATGTTTTTAATTTAACGTTCTAACCAGTAAGAAAATATAGTAAGATATTTTACTTATGTTTATCTATTACGTCTTGTTTCTAAGCAATATGTAGGTATATTTATTTCATTAAGATGTAGTAGCAAATGACGTGATATCATTGAATGGACCAAGTCTAAAGGTTAATTTCCTTATTTACTACTCTATCGATTGCAGGTTTGAAAATATATCTTGTATTGTTCACATTTACGAATTCAATATATGATGGTGATGATTTTGCCTAGTTATGTTTTTATTGGAATTTAATTACATGTAAATAATTTTTATTTGTAGTTTTTGTTGTATTAGGCTTAACAACCAAATAAATTAACAACTAACCTGGAAGTCTGAAAGCTCAGATGATTTTTTTCCATATTGGCCTGTATGATCTCAAGGAGTTCCCGCCGCTGCAGGCTGCCGGAGCGCTTTTTAGTATGTTTGTGTTCGCGGTGCTCTCTGCGCGGATGTCGGTGGGACTTCGGCCTCGTGGGCGGCGGTCTCTGCGGTCTTCGGTCTCCGGAGCACGAAGACTTTGAGGAAGCGTCATCGTCAAACGATAGTCTTTCGTGGTCTTCGTCACTGTTATCGCAATCTGCAGGTGCGGTTTGCGGCTGTTCCCTCCTCCGGCGCCGTCTGCCTTCCCGCCTGTCGCGTTCGTGCCGCGCTCGCCGCCCGTCCTCGGGCACCACCGTTAGTCGCACTTGAATAGTTTTCGATCCGTAGTGCGGAACGGTCACCGACTTCCCGATCGACTCGTATATAGTCGACACTATTCCAGCTATATCCTGTTGACGATGGATTGAAATGAATTAAATAGAACATAATAAAAATTATAAGGCAGCTAACAGTCGAGCATTAGGAAAATGGCTATGTTTATGAATGAAATAAGGATTTAAAATCGCAGATTAATTCAAATACTTTGGAAATTATTAACACAAACATAGAAAAAAATATCGCCCATTACATTTTAGTTTATAGCACACAGCTCAATTTTAATAAACCTCGAAATAAACGAAGCGTTTAATGTATGGTGGTGTTGAATACTAACATCCTTAGTCATGCGGCCGTGACCGTCGAGGTCGTACAGTGTGAAGGAGAACTGCAGCGGCTGTTGTTTGGACGGCGCCGGGTGCTGCAGCTCCACGTCACATGTCAGCTCCTGCGATACAAACAGTCACACATTTTATTATCTTGATAATATTAAATTAGTTTGTATGATTGCGGTTTATGATTATGTTAAAAATGTGTATATATTTTTTTTCCTTAAAATCCTTCTACATCTATTTGAACCTGGGAACGATGTCTCAATAGCTAGATGATTCAATCGTTTGGCAACAAGGTTGCTTTTTATTGACCAACATTGACTAATCAGTCGTTATCTAAAAGCGATGAACGATCGGATCGCTCGGTTCCGTGTGGTAATTCTTTTATGCCTCATACAAAGGTGCCGGTGTCGGGCTATGAATATGCACGCCGAGCGCTGCGCATAAATGTTTTTAATTAGCAGTAATGGTAAATAAAGTGTTCTCATAGACGTCGATTAACCCGGATTAATACCAGACAGTGTTACATTATGTCCTACAAAACATCAAGCGTACTGTATAATAATGTTTCTTATGGCGGCGGGAGTCGGCGGAACATTGCATTTAATGGATGTTTTTAATCTTTTTTAACAGGGAATTAAAAAAAATTAACCGTCATCGACGGATGGATGGGTTTGATATTTGAATTGAACTTGTAACGTATGCAAAGTGACAAGGAGTTTCAAATCATTTTCGCGCCAACCATGCGTGACGGGCATTCTGATTGGTCGAGAGAGCAACCGAAACTAATGACCCGTACGAGTTGTAACAAGAACAAAACAATACGACCGTGACCTAAAAATCCCTTGTTCCTTGTGCACCTTTTTTGTTTATATCACCATACAGATGTATGCACACAAAGATTCGTACATGGGTCTTGGTACTTAAACAGTAGGACATCGAGTTTTGATTTTTTAAAGGGAAACGTGGTACAAATTTGAAATTAATTGCCAGCTTAATAGTTAAAGTAGAAAAGGAGACCCTTGTGTACCTACCTCGAATCGTAGCCTAGGTTTATCGTCGTGCGCGTCAGCTGTGCGAGGTGAAGGCGGTTGCCTTGCGCGCTCATGCGCCCGCGCTTGCAGCGGCGGCGGTGTGCTGGGGTTGAGCAGGGCGCGTGCCTCGCTGGGAAGCAGGTCGGGCGGCGCCGAGCATTGAGAAGCCGCGCGGCCCACCAGTTCCTCTGTGTCCGTCCTCTCGCTCTCTGTACCAACTGTAAAAAAAAACATTATAATAGTTACCTAACTTGAAGATATTATAAAGTTGTCAAATGGTCAGCAAAACTGCTCGTCGACAGATTTAGCCTTTCATTGATGTCTTCGAGCAACAGTTCGAAATTCAGATACTTGTCTATGCCTATTAGCGAAATGTGTAGCCTTTAAGGAATTTAAACGAGAGCAAAAATTCCTTAAATATATTGCAACATTAACATGGTAGGACTGACGTATTAATAGAATGTTGCCGTATGCATTTAGCACTATGCGCCGCACTAAAATACAAATAGATTGAACTATTCGCCAACATAGTGGGCTTTAAAATGTAATCTGATACGTGTCTTTTCGCCTCCCTAAGGTTAGACACAATCGTTAAAGTTCCTCGTATTTTGCCAGACTGTAGTTATACTTTGAAGTAAAAATTGTTTTCATGAAACCCGACTGAGTCCGGCACTGCATATTGTATTTCAATAGACATATTTGTGAATATTGCACATAAATATAATTTCCGCGTAATAAACTGCGATCTAGTTAATTTGAATACAATGACTGTTAGCCGACAGCACGGTGACAATTGATAATAAACATAGCTCGCAAAATTACGCAACACGAAAGCTAATTATATTATTTTGCATTTAAGTATACGTTCTGCATAAGTTATGCTGACACTTTTAACATTACCGAATGATATCTATATGTTGAAATAGTAACCATTAGTAACCTACTGTAATAAATCTATGTTTAAAAGTGCTTTAACGTTATGAAATTGCGGCAGCTTTACTATATCTATTAAAATTAATTCCATGCAAACCCCTTGCATTTACATATATGTAAATATCACATGGAGTCTTGTTCGATCGTGGCTTTTCCCAGTATTTGCATCTGCGGATTGTCTTAAATGACAAAACCCAAAGAACAATAGTA